TTTTGCTGCCCGAGTCATCGTTCCTGGACACACATTCATGCGTGAACTATGATCAGCGTGCCCTGAACTGTATCTGTGTATGCGAGTGCGGTGCATAAAGCCCACCTGAAGAATGGGTTTGCCGGCCCCTTAGTAGATGCGTGGCTTCTGAAGAGGGTGTTGAAGGGCATCCAGCGATGCCATGGTACGGCTGCACTCACCCCTCGCCTTCCTATAACTATGCCAATCCTACGACACCTGACGGATGCACGCCGGAAAAGTAGTGTCCTGAATGGCCATGACAAGCTGCTCTACCAAGCCGCCATGCTGCTTCTTTGGATTTCTTCGGTGCGCTGAATTCACTAATGGCATCACACGGGGCTGTACTAGCTCCCCTGGTGACGGACGCCTGCAACTCTTCCTGCTTTCATCCAAGACGGACCCATTCGGTAAAGGCGTTACTAGTGACATTGGCCCGTCTGTACCGCCGTACTGCCCGGTCCGTGCCATTGTTAGCTACCCATTTGTCACTCGTCGCGAGGGACCGGAGCAACTCTTGTTCATACTCTCGAACAGACAGCAGCTGACCAGGCAGTCATTCACAGTAACAGTATGGTCTCTTGTCGCTGCGGCCGGTGTACCATCCCAGTCGAACTACTCCGGGCATTCGGTCCACATTGGTGTAGCCACCACCGCTGCTATGGCTAGTGCCCCCGACTCCTTCTTCCGAGTGGCAGGTCAGTGGAAAGAGCGATGCGTGTCTATGCTACATCCAGACTACAACAAGCGCATAGCGCCAGCTATCGTCCCGGCTTGCTGCCGTGCCATGGATGCCATGATCCCCAACTCGGGTGAGTAATGAGCTACTGAACTCTAGCTGCGCAATGCTTGCCTGTGCTGACATTAATTGACCCTTGCTGTGCGTCAATAGTGCTTAGCTAATGGAGTGCTGGTTTCATGGGTCCACTCTCACAACTGGTGTTATCTAGCTATTTGCTGCGGCTCTGCCTTGCGCTATATTACATCCATTTAGCATTGCAGCTCTACGTTGAGCTAACAGCAGCTCTACTTTGAGCTAACAGCAGCTCTACTTTGAGCTAACAGCAGCTCTACTTTGAGCTAACAGCAGCTCTACTTTGAGCTAACAGCAGCTCTACTTTGAGCTAACAGCAGCTCTACTTTGAGCTAACCGCAGCTCTACTTTGAGCTAACAGCAGCTCTACTTTGAGCTAACAGCAGCTCTACCTTGAGCTAACAGCAGCTCTACTTTGAGCTAACAGCAGCTCTACTTTGAGCTAACAGCAGCTCTACTTTGAGCTAATCGCAGCTCTACTTTGAGCTAACAGCAGCTCTACTTTGAGCTAACCGCAGCTCTACTTTGAGCTAACCGCAGCTCTACTTCGAGCTAACAGCAACTCTGCTCTGAGCTAACACCAGCTCTACTTTGAGCTTCAAACCAGTTGTTTCGAAACCAGCACTCCTCAATCCAAAGATGCCTCTTTGTTGACTTGTTTGTGTGAGGGATGGGGCTAATGGTGTACTAGCTGTGCTAGTACTTGTTAGCAACAATCCGAACTAGCGCACACACTGCACTGCATTGCTTTGTACTGCATTCAAGACTGACGTCATGCGCTTTGTTTTGCTGCGTAATCACAAATGGCACCAGCCCATTTTTGCGGAAAAGAAAAACAAATCTTGCTTGCCCTGTTGTGCTCTTCCAGACAACGGATCGTGCTTCAGCAGTGTTTCTTTTCCCACCATCCCTCCCTATCCAACTTATTCACACCATCATAATATTATCGTACCCACTAACCGGGTCCACTCTCACAACTGGTGTTATCTAGCTATTTGCTGCGGCTCTGCCTTGCGCTATATTACATCCATTTAGCATTGCAGCTCTACGTTGAGCTAACAGCAGCTCTACTTTGAGCTAACAGCAGCTCTACTTTGAGCTAACAGCAGCTCTACTTTGAGCTAACAGCAGCTCTACTTTGAGCTAACAGCAGCTCTACTTTGAGCTAACAGCAGCTCTACTTTGAGCTAACAGCAGCTCTACTTTGAGCTAACAGCAGCTCTACTTTGAGCTAACAGCAGCTCTACTTTGAGCTAACAGCAGCTCTACTTTGAGCTAACAGCAGCTCTACCTTGAGCTAACAGCAGCTCTACTTTGAGCTAACAGCAGCTCTACTTTGAGCTAACAGCAGCTCTACTTTGAGCTAATCGCAGCTCTACTTTGAGCTAACAGCAGCTCTACTTTGAGCTAACCGCCGCTCTACTTTGAGCTAACCGCAGCTCTACTTTGAGCTAACCGCAGCTCTACTTTGAGCTAACCGCAGCTCTACTTTGAGCTAACAGCAGCTCTACTTCGAGCTAACAGCAGCTCTGCTCTGAGCTAACACCAGCTCTACTTTGAGCTTCAAACCAGTTGTTTCGAAACCAGCACTCCTCAATCCAAAGATGCCTCTTTGTTGACTTGTTTGTGTGAGGGATGGGGCTAAAGACACTTACGGAGACATCACCACCACTCACACTCACAGCATGATTTACTTACAACGGTTCAACCGCACACGCAGCATCAACTCAGAAGGGCAGGGACGCGGCATATTCCAGCACCCATACTCATGATACTAGCGGTAATCACAGTAATCCAGTGACCTCGGAGAAAGACAGCAACGACTTGTAAAAATTAATGTAATGCCAGGAACGGTCGAGGCGTACTACTAGTACATGTAATAGGCTCCGGCGGAGTGTGCCGGCATTGCATATTGGCGGTAGCCCTTTCCCAAAGATGCCATAATTTTTCGCAACCACCAAAAAAGGAGCAGAAATAGCAGAAGTGCAGCAAACTCGTACACCCCTTCCTGCTCAGCAGGACCTGCTGTGAACCACAACTGTAAAGTGTAATGTAATTGTTACTTTACACATCATTGTGACTAGTGCCAGTAGCCTGTTGCATGTATCCTACATCATTCCAGTGCACGTAAAAGGGAATGCACAAATATCGTAACTACCGGTGATCTACTGTTTCTGAACTTTCTCTGAAATGAGTCTGAAGAGTGTAGCCTGTAGGTCTACGCGAGAAATGAACGAGTATGCATGTGTCCGACATGTAGTCTGTGACTTGACCTTTTGACCCCATGTCATGGGGCCAAGGTTTAGGCCTAGCCCAAATTTGCTCAGGGCGCTTCGATATTTTGCCCGATCACTTTCCATATTTTGCTAGGCATTGCCTTTCGTTTCCGATATTTTGCTCCATTTTGCTCCTGCTTTGTGGCAAAAATGGCTTCGAATGAACCGTCTACTTTGGTAAAAGTGGATGGTACATGGTGACTCTGATGAGGAAAGCAAAACTTATAATGGTGTCAGTATTACGGATTTGGTAGCATGATTTCAAATTTAGGTACCACTGACAACCTGCACGAGCTATTTCAGCACGACGTTGACCCAATGAAACCAAAGAAATTTGAATAAAATTGCCAAAACACACCCGGATCCTCTGTAAATTCGATATTTTGCTCGGAATTTGCCAGCAACTTGCATACTGGTATTAGTTAAACTGTTTAGTCCCACAATCTGCGATAAAATGATCCGCTAGCGCTGTAGCACCTACTCCACTTTTATGTTTATGTATCTATGTCATTCGGATCTTCCCAAGTTGTACAATGTACTGTTGAGATACCGAATTCAAATAAATCAATACCATACCAAAAAATACCATACCAACTTCTTTTCGTTGGAAAATTCGATATTTTGCTGGAAGAATTGCCGGCAAATTTGGGCTAGGCCTACCAAGGTTGCGGAAAAGTTGCGAAATGGTTCGCGAAAATGAAGAAGTACACGGTGTACATGTAAACCAAACGTTTGTAGTTGCGAAAGTTGCGATTTCTTCCTAAACAACGAAAAGTTGCGAAAAAAGTGGCGAGCATCTTTGGGAAAGAGCTAATTCAGTAATTGGCGGAGGAGCATACACTACTACATGTACATGTACATGATTTGTCAAAGACAGAGCCTAGAACATAGCAGACTCAGCGGTAACGGGTTGGTTGTAACTCTGAGTTTCATGCCGCTAAGCAATCATGAGACACCCGCACCTCACTCGCGCGGAGGCATGCTTGTAAAAACATAGGATATGGTTTTACCTCCCTTCTTGATGATGAGAGATTAGAGGAAGTCATGTAGTAATGAATCAGAATCAATCCCAGTCCTATGAGGTTATGTTGTGGTACTTGAAGAGAGCTACTGCCGCCGCAACAGTCACAGACTCACACTGTCACAGGCATAAACAAAAATTATGTATTTAGCGCTACTTGTAGGTGCAGGTACGCTAGGTCCGGCAACGTCAGGTACTACAATAATAATATTTGTAGGAAGAAAACTACATGCATGTGGTGCGGGCCGAGGCGTTGGGAGTAGGAGAGACAACAGGCGCGCGCATAGCCTAGGCAGGTCAAAAACGCAACCGCACTACTATTACAATCATGTGGATCTATCTTACAAATCGGGAAGCAACAGAAGAGTTGAGACTTAGAGTCTTTGTGGCCCACTTTCAGAACTTATAGTTTTGATAGTTTGAATAAGCACACGCGCATATTCCCTGCTCGCATTCGCTGGCTTGTTAGTAAAGGGGGGGGGGAGGACTCAAAAGGAATCTCGGAAAGAAGATTCATTGGAACTGCCCACTGAAATCCCCAATTAGGTATCCGTCCCGGAATCCAACTGCAGTTACCCCTGCCCCAGTGAAGGTAATAGTATTATTACAATATTACAATCATTTACTTGCTACTACAGTGTACAGTATACTAGTAGATCTACTACCAGTGTGGGTGGCTAAATCAAAGTGGATATGATTTAATCGAGAGAGAAACAGTCCACACACACTCAGTGTGTGTGCGTGGGGGGGGGGGGGGGGGGCACAGAAGTCTCTGCTGTGAGTATGCTCTGGCCCTCCTTCTTTTCCGTTGAATACCATGGTTCACCCATATCATTTCCCACAAGAAACGTCCACAGCGCCGCGTCCTGTGTCCAGTTCAATCTAGATACTGTATTTCTTTTCGATGGAAATTTGAAAGAGGTCGTGATGAGTTGGAAGAACAATAACGATGATGAATCCAAATGGCATCATGCTCAGTTGCCGAAATGTTCTTACCAAGACAAATAGCCAGAACAAAATCTAGGAAACTTACATAAAGTATGTGCTTTTTGCTGCATTGAAAACTGTTGAATTCGCAGCTGAATCCAAACTACAAACATGGAGTAGATTTATGGAAACAGTAATAAAAGACACATAAAGTAGAGTAGAGTAGAAGAGAGTGCGGGCTTCGAGTTCGAGGACTGGAACCATTCTTCAACTGGTCAGTTATGTTGAGCACTCGGCATCCTGAGTGAGTCAAGAAGAACAAGCACAGTGCCAGGATCACAGACACAAACAACGGAACGCAACCATCTGACCTACAGTGTGTTTGAATACATTTTAAAATATATGACATATGCACGTAGAGTGCTGGCAAGAGAAATCCAACCCCATCCGATGATGAAGACTTGGCACAGCTCTGGGGCTATACAGTGCAAGCGCCATCAACCCTGGGCTGTGCAATAAGCAGGGCTAAGCAGCGCTAACGCCATCAACCCTGGCCTGTGCAATGAGCAAGGCTCTGCTGCAATGTATATTATGTATAGGGTTGGATTTCACTTGCCGCTACTGTACACGTGCAGCCTTATCCATCAATGATGACTCTGAGAACCGTTGGAATACAATGATACACTGGTGTAGTAACAAGACAAGGACAAGGTGCAGAAAAAGGATTGACGGCATCAGGGTATCCATCCCGGGATCCAACTGCAGTTACCCCTGCCCCCAGTGAAGGTATTTGGTAATACTTGCTACTAGCGTGGGTGGCTAAATCAGAGTAGATCTGATATAAGCGTCACTAGCACCATTGATTACACAAGAGTTAATCTAGCCAGAAGCAGTCCATGGTTAATAGGCATGTATACTTTAAATAGAAAGTATATGAACCCTGAAACCAACAAAGGTGGCAGATACAACATTACACCTTCAAGCAGCCGAGCCTGTATGACAGACCCAACACAATCAGACATAAGTGTACCCACCACCCAAACTAGCTGGCACACACACACACACACACACACACACACACACACACACACACACACACGCATACACACACGGTTACTTCGGGCCACATAGCAGTCCTACTCAAATCCATGCCAGAACGCCAGAATAGGTTGAGCTATGATCATCTTGCCCGGACTAAAACACAGACAAGTATTCACAAAATCATGGTACATACAGTCAAAATTAATCTTACCGTGCTACCAGCTTCTCTGCACCTGCAGTATATATCATTGGGTTGCTGTGCACAACGGAACTGGCCAGTACCATCACCGCCATCCACACAGGAGCAAAGTTTGCAGCTTCTGGCAGCGGTGGTGATCTCTTGCGCCTTGATGTTGCGGAATGCAGCACTGAATGCCACATACGCACTCGACTGCGGGTGCCGATTGATGAAGTTGTTCATATTCCACAGGACGCCGCCAAGATCCAGGGCAAGCTGTGTCCAGTCCTCATTCACGGTGCCATATGACTCGGAGTAGTCGACGGTGAGCGAGCTACTGTCTGGGTCAACAGCACTGAAGCCAGCGCCCAGGTCTCTAAAGTCAGGCTGGATGTAGGTCAACTTCGTCTGGTTGAAGAGCACACTGCGCACACCCAACACCTCCTGGGACTTGTCACGCACCAGTCGGATAACATGATCAAGGATGAAGTTCGCAGTGAACCCATTGCGCAAGATCTCAGTCCGCACCTAAGTAGGATAGGAAGAAGAGCAGTGTATGTAGACAGGATCGCTTAGGCAGTGAGGGATAATACGGACACAGACACAGGAAAATGTTCAAGATGGCATCATTAGCACTGCTCCCTGTGTGTGAGCTAGTGATAGTTTTTCTGATTACTTTTGACCCTTGGTTGACTGACTGGCAACAGCTATCCAGAGCAAATGATAAGCCTAACGGACATTCAACTCGGAGCACCTGCAAAAAGGTACTATCTTACTCCCTGCTCAAAACACCGTGTTCCGGAGAATCCACCTCTCATCAGCTGGGACTGAGTAGGATGAAGAATTCGCATACTCTGGAAGACAGTTGCGAGGCAGTCAAGCGTAAAGTCAAGCCGGCATGAAAGCACACGTTTTGATGCACAGAGCAAGCAACATAACAATCAGACCAATAGGGGAAATAGAGTCTAAGACCAGTAGGGGAAATAGACCAGCAGATGGCTGAACCATGGACACAAGCACTGACCTTTTTAAAAGAAATGGTTAGGAAACAAATGAGATTACAGACACATACACTATCTCCGTGCCCCAAACCGTGACTATGGGGTAACCATAGTAACCACAGTAACCTTAGTAACCACAGCCTACACTCACAACTACTGACCTGGTCCTTGGCATCGCCGGAGACACCGCATGAGTCACTTCTTGATGCATTGCCCAGGAAGATGAGATTATGCGCAATATTGGGGCTGTGACGAATGCCACTATTCTGCAAAGCATACAGGATCGCTTGATAACCGTCCTTTGGTCCTTCCTGGCGATAAAGCAATGGACGGCGAAGTGCAGCCGATAGCTTGGGGAAGGTGAATGATGTGACACCTGGCTGGCTGGAATCACTGAGCATGTGATGTCCGCACTCCGCACCAGTTCCCATATCTCCTCCGAATCCAACCAATGTGTACAGGTTGGGCAGTTCTGGGTTGTTTCCAACACCCTGTCTGGTTGTCAGATCCGTCTCGATGGCTTGCAGGAACGGCTCAAGTTCCGTGAACGCATCTTCCAGCTCGGCACTGCGCTCGACCACAATAACAACGTCCGCAGCATAGCTTTGCGAGGCAGCAGATGGGCTAACATAGGCCGTTTCTCCCAGAGAATAGGCTCCACTCATGCATTGAACTGCAACAGTGGACAGAAAAGGTTACAAGAAATCAATAATCGCCAATCTCGTGAATGTTCCCTCTCCGTACATGTAATAACTATGAGTGTGTTCTGTATCAATTGCTGAAATGTAAATTACACTCGAATGCCTCTTACCCGGGCGCGTTGGGACCGGGCACTACCTGTATCCCAGGATAACTCATCACTACCATGTATCATATCAGATTTTGATGAAGCTTATTTGAAGTTTTTGGCCACATGTACAGAATAAAAACAGAATGTGTTGATGAAACGATACATGGATGGCACAGGTTGGCAGTGGCAAGAGTTTCAAAAATGAGCCTGCGTGCACGTCTGATTGGAAAACCCTGAAATTGAGGCACTGTTGCCTTAACAATTCAAGGTGAAGGTGCTCGGTAGAGAGAGACGAGCCCATATCTAAGTCGCCTGGATAACAGGCATTTGAGTGTATGGACATGTTGCAAACACTTCCACGTATTCCTCTTCTTTAGCTTTGGTTAGAAAATACTAGATTGACACTATGGAGTTGCAGCAAATGATTTTCCCCAGGCTACTGTGCTGCTGCTACCACAGTCAATTGGTGGACCCGTGGTGCAGCACAATGTGTATATGGATGGCACAACTGGTACAGTAAAACTACCCTAATACGGGCAGGGCGGGACCGAACACTGCCCGGAACTAGAAATTTCCCGTAACTCAGAACATACACACTTACTGCATGAAAGTAAACATTTTTTTATGTCAATCAAGAGTAACAAAATTGGCTTTTCAATGAAAATGGCCCCAAAAACTGTTTTTGCCTTTTTCGTTGAAAATCCAATTTTTGTGACTCTAGATGGGTCAGAACGGTGCCCGGTAGACGGTGCCCGGATTAGGGGCGTCCACCAAGGTTCAATCAAGCGCTGCACTTGATCGAATCTGGAATTTTAGTGATTTTTTAGGGTTTCCATGAGAGAAAGCAACGATTTCCGCATCATGACCTTTATTCCCGCCATTTGTGCATGTATCACGTACAGAGTACGTTTTCTTGGCAAAAAAGAATCCGGTGGATCCTGTCAACCCTGCTCCTTATGCTTTTTTGCCGTCAGATACGGATAGCGCCAGGCGTGACACAAACAAACAAACACACAAATACCAAATTAAAGCTGTGTGGACCCTGTCTAGCGCCAGACGTTACTAAAGTAACGTCTTCTGCATAGCTACGGGAATTAAATAAAAGATATAGCACATGCTTAATTAACGGCCAGACTACTTTTTTTTTTCAGGCATATCCTGGGATTCGAACCAGCACTATCGCCCTACATGCATTACCCCATACACTTCGCATTCATACCCATTCTTCCAAGTTGCTTCACGTTATTATCTTGCGTTTGAAAGCCCTATATGAATATTGCGGGCAGCTGTATGTGGCCAGCTGTGTTTGATGGTACGGCACGGTACGGGAGACGGTGTCGTATTACCCTCGATCGTACCTGTCCCGTACCTATCCCCTACCGTACCGTGCCATCAAAGACGGCTGGCCACAATGCATATTCAAATAGGGCTTTCAAATGCAAGATCACAATGTGAAACAACTTGGAAGAATTAGTATGTATGCGAAGTGTATCGGGGGATGCATGCAGGGCGCGCGATAGTGCGGGTTCGAATCCCAGGTTATGTCTTAAAAAAAAGGAATTTTTTAAAGAATTTATAACATCCGTATGCTTTTTTTTTGTGTAGGTCAGCAAGGCAAAAAAGCATAGCGTAGGGCCCTGAGCTTCCAAGCTCTCTCGTTTTTTCAAGATATTTCTTATCCACTAGGCGAGTACTTGTACTTACTGCATGATCCCAGGTTGCATACGTCAACTTCCTGCAACTCCTGGCATGCCTTGCCGTCACCCGATGGCTCCTGAAGCATGGATCTGGTACGAGACCGCGTTCCTGCACCACATGTCGTGCTGCAATCGGAGAAGTCTCCGTATTCACCGAGAATACAATCTGCACAACATACACCAACACCGATTAAACATACACCAACACCGATTTGTCAGGACACTCCAAAAAGGTTAGCAGACTTTCGGAAGGCCCCCTTTTACTTAATCGGTCTAAAATTTCACACTCTTTCTATAAAATGTGACAGGGAGCATCTGGGTACACTGGTAGTCCGGCTATGAAAGACCGATAGCCCGGCTATGAAAGACTGGTAGTCCGGCTATGGAAGACTGGTAGTCCGGCTATGAAAGAACATGTATGTACAGGTACGAACAACCCAGTGCCGCTGCCGTCCAGATATTGTGTGCAGTGTTTGGAGTATCGAGTCCTACAAGACTGATGGTGTTATGGGTGTTAGTAGTTCGGCTGAAAACAAAGAGTATGGACAAGATCTTACCGGGATCACAGAAGGCCTCGCTTCCATCGTACTGGCCAGTCAACTGGCATGTGCGTTGCCGTGATCCACGCAGTGTGAAACCAGCGTTGCACACAAACTCCAGTGAAGAACTGTAACTGAAGTCGGTGCCAATACGCTGGCCATCCGCAGGTGCACTTGGTGGTGCGCATGTTATCACTGAAACAGACAATGCCAGCGATACATGATGATAACAGGGAATCACTGGGTTTTGACCAGATAACATGAACATTGTATTGCTTTTAAGATGGCTAGTTGAGAATAGGGGAAGTGTTCTTGCTCGTAAGAATGCTGTGCGCCATGATAAACAACTAGTGAAAACCGATACTAGTGAGTAATAAAAAGTCCACAGTCCACCAATATTAACATTCCTGACTGTACCGAATCAACTGCATGTGCTATCAACAACTCTACACCCATTGAACAGAACTATCTGCACACTAACATACAAGTGCAGGCAATGGACCAGGCATCATGCAGCATACTTCCATACCTTCGCAAGTCGGAATGACATCATCCCACTGCCCATTCGACTGGCAGGTCAGTGATGTTCTGCCGTTCAGACGGAAGCCCCCGTCGCAAGTGAACGAGGCCTCGTTGTTGGGAAGGAACACTCCAAACAATGGCAGACGCCTTCCATCGCTGGGAACGCCGGGATCAGCACACGTTATCGCTGAGCAGAAGAAGAAACGGGAGTGGCAGGCCGCATACAGTGAAAGTCAGCATGTGGACCATGAGCAGCAATAGGTAAGCATCACCACACATACATAGGATAACTACACCAGCAAAGCATCGCACATGTGCTTCTTAGTCAGCTGGAAATACGTGCAAGTACCTGTACCGTTCGAAGTACATGTGTGCATGAAATCTTGACCTTGGCTGGACATTTTGTTATAACTCATTGTGCTCGTATCACTGAAATATGTTGTGTTTGTGGGCTGGAGGTACAATTTATTGCACATGCACAACATAATCAGAAGGCAAACCAGTAGGCAAAATAATGTTTGGTCTAGTATCCCTTTATGGAAACAACTACTAGTAGATAGACAAGTCAACCCATCAAGCTCTGAGGCAGCTAAGCTTTCTCTGCTACCTATTTTCGGCACTCACGTTCACATGTTGGTGCGGAGTCCGACCAGCCAGTGGCGAGGCACTGGCGCTGTGAAACCCCCATCAGGCGATATCCACTATCACACTCGTACTGCACACTATCCCGCAGTGCTTCGTAGCGACGTCGGACGTTGGAACCGACAATACGTCCATTCTCCGGTGCGCTCGGCTCACAGCATTCGATCACTGGACAAATAACGACAACACAACGAAGCAGAATGTGAAACACGATACCAGTAAATGCACGTATTCTCTTTCCTGGCCTAAAACCTGCATTCAATAATTGCATTGTGGATATTTCAGCACAACAACCAATGCTCAAGCTCACAGTCCAGCAGAACATTGGCTTTGTGCAATCGCATGTAACTTAGTGTTTACCATTGCATTCAGGAGGAGGCTGTGACCATATTCCCGATGCCTGGCACTCGATCTGCGCTGCACCGATCAACTCATGGCTGGCTGTGTTGCAGGTGAACGATGCCGTGGTTCCTACAACACGGTCCTCATTTGACAGTGAGACAGCTCCATTGGCAGGGTTTGACACGGGTGGGCACACTCTCACTGCAGTTTAAAAATCACATGAAACTATGATCGTTATAAGAGAGTGATTGTCAGGGTAAAATGAACCATATCTATGGCGCCAACAATTCACCGTTTCTTGTATTCTTTAAAAGTCTGGAAGAAATCCGAACATAGAGGTACACTTTCAACAACCTTCCCATGACTGACTGGTTCCTATGACATCAGCCTACAGTTCCTATGACATCAGCCTACAGTTCCTATGACATCAGCCTACAGTTCCTATGACATCAGCCTACAGTTCCTATGACATCAGCCTACATGTACACTACACAGATGCCAATGAAGCTAACTGTCCAAGGCAACACCATGCCATGCCATGCACAGGAATCAGCAGCAAAGGTTTGATTCACAGCACATAACAAGGGAAGAAACCATGGGCACAGCACAGCACGGCACAAGAAACAATGCTCTGTGCATGGACAAATTTCAAACTTCAGCCTCCACTGCACACTTTCAGGCGACCGTATGGCAGCTCTACTATGCTCGAGTTCGTCTCCGATTGATTTCAAGACTGAGACTTTCGCGGCACAACTTACGCTCGCAGACAGCGCGATCTCCAGACCAGGTAGCATCTGCCTGGCAGTGGCGACTGCGTGACCCGGCCAGAATGTAACCAGGATTGCAACTGAACGAAACGTCTGATCCGAACGTGTAGATACTTCCTCGCTTCAGCCCAAACTGTGGAGATCCTGGATCACCGCAGCTTACCACTGCACAACACAAAGTGAAGAAATTGGACACAAAGTCCATACCCAATTTAGATAAGGTAGATGAGAAAACATGCTATTGACACACAGAAACGTGCAACTTCGGCTGTGGACATTGAACTCCAGTGGAATGCCCGACGCAAGCGCCCGAAACGTGTGAAGACCACTGTGTAGAGAGTCCATACAACAACAAATACATAATAGTGTCGGTGTACCAGATGTGCACATGTCCGTGCGTAGATGCCGGTTTGAGCTGGATAGATGGGTACTCGTGGAAACGGGGAGTATGATTTCCATCATCCAGATTAAAATGTGTAGTGCTGTGTTCAGCATGGCAACTGCAAATCTAGTGCCCCCAACCACTCATGTATTTTTCTCCAATTTCAATGCCGAGTCCATCGCCGTAACTGTAAGGCTAAAAGATGATAACAATTCCCAAACATGAAAATATACGGCCAAGCACTGTATGCATTCGTTCTCCACCATGCACTGTTCGAGACCAGGTATCTCAGCCCAATGGAGTGATTGCTAAGCACAAGGTATAGTTGTGCATCATGGTTAGGACCAGGGCAGTTGCTACAGGCATTAGCTTACATTCACAAGACGGTAGCGAGTTGCTCCACTGCCCACTGGCCATGCACGTGCGAGAAGCACTGCCAACCAGGGAATAGCCAAAGTCGCAGCTGTACGTGGCCACTGTTCCGGCTACTCCGGATGACGCACTGGTGTCGCCATTGGCTGGGATGCCTGGATTGCCGCACTGCAATGCTGTGCAGCACAATCAGGAATACACATACGCGCACACACACAGAGAGTACGGAGTCACGTTTAAATTTGAACCTAGTGAGGACAACAGCAGGGCACTACACCCGAAGTTCACTAGTGACAAACCGCAAATCCCTCAACTCTCGTTCACCCCTCACACAGCCTATTGCTTTTAATAGTCAAGATCTGACTTTGGCAGCAGATTCCAGGAAAGGTTAAGGTTGCTTATCCCCATTTCCCAAACCTGTTTCTGCAAAATAATTATAAATTTGTATGCAGCCCGATGGGAGGATTGCTATTTTATGAATTTCTGCAACATAGAGGATAATTGCATTGGAACAAAGGGCAACATTTGACCAATTTTAAGAAGAATTTGAAGTACTGTATTATAATTTTTGGCTGCAATGAATTCAGGAAGAATTTATTGGACATGGGTGCGATAAGGTAAAGAGAGAGACCAGCGGCCCAGAGTATGACTTCAGTATCAGGATGTGTTGCATAGACATAGACCGCTCGCATGCGCGCACACCCTCACACCAGTGAAGACTCGCAACAATATTGTTATGTCATTCATCAATGATAGTGATGTCATTGATGACACTCACGTTCACAAGAAGGCAAGGGCTCGCTCCACGATGAGTCAGCCTGACAACTAGTGCTTGCTGCACCGCTAAGGACGTGTCCAGCATTACATCTGTGCGTCAAACTAGCTCCAACTGTTAGCTCTGGTGTAGGACCAACCCGAGCACCGTTGGTTGGAACACCTGGGTCGCTACATACGATTGCTGCAGGAGGAACAGTGAGAGAAGACCAGGTAAGTTTCAGATCACCTGCTACAAAGCAAGCCAGTGAATCGAGTAACCATTATCGTCATACGTATAGGAAAACTCATTAGTTTGAGAGAGTTGCAAGAAAAGTTCTGAAGAAAAAAATTGATAGGAACACAGTAGAACCTCCCTCAACCTGACGCCTTGCAGGCAGGTATTTGCACTCAAATCGTCCGGCAATATTTCTTCTCTGTTGGAGATCAGCTGAAGTACTGCACAGCATCAAAGGCCATAACCCTCTACTGCTATGGCGAATTCTTACGAATGATATCGATACTGGTTGAGTCGGCCCAACTGCCTCGGAAGAGAATGGGGTGCCATATCCATGCAAAGGCATTAGGGTTGTCACTGTGCGTGTTCCCAAGTTTCAGGAAATATGGGATACGAGCACCCTTCAGTCTTCAGGTATCTGGGCAGGGTAGGTAGAGGTTCCGTGCCGTGTATTCGCCATACAAAGTGCACCCTGATCCACCAGAACTACATGTAGATGATGCAAGAAGCTTTGACGGAAACCTTCAGGAATGATCAATAAAGACACTATACCGACTAGACAGTTCAAACGCACTCCTCCTACGCCCTGTATCACCCCAACCCATAGCAAGCATACATAGGAGGCCACAAAGGACGAAACAGTTCTGTCCGCAGATTGAGTAGGAGATCAGTACATAAGAAACCGAGTATGTGTAAAACAACACAGTATCTAGGCGACTGCAGATAAGGCAGCTGCCTAAACTCAGCTTACGGCTGCATGCTGGCAAGGCATCAAACTCTCCCGTGCGCATACACCGGCTAACACTGGCACCGCTCATCTGGTATCCTTGATTGCACTGCCATGAGATGCGTGTGTCGACACCCACACGGCCGCCTCCAATCACACCAACTGTTGCTCCGTTTGCAATGGATGGCGTGGGACATGCTGTCAGCAACAAGCAAAACAAGACAACAGACTCATGCAGCAAGATGTAGCAAGACTCACGGCGTCTCATGACACATGCCAAACCCACACTGTAGTTAGGTAACTGCTACCAAGTATGGATAAACTAGGGGAGGAAAGTTGGCCATGTAGAACAACATCATGCTAAGAAGCCATGTCACCCACGAAAACCTCGAAACGGTACTCAGCATCCATGTACCCAAACCTGATACTAAGAATCCATGTACCCCAAAGCTCCTGATGCTAAGACCCAATGTACCCGAAGCGCCTCATGCTAACAGTAGTAACACCCTTCACAATGCACTGGCCAATTAGGACAAGTCCAGCTTACAGCAGGCGCCGACCGAGCAGCTTCTGGTTTCGGACAGCGCCGGGCAAGGTGCAGCGGACTGGCCACCCGGTTGCAGCACACGGCGTTGTCGCACCATTGTTCCAGTGCCGCAGCTCACCGTGCATGCCTGCCATGGCTCCCAATCTGATACTTGACAATCTGGTGAAGACATAAAAGACAAGGCCAGAACCGAAAATCAAACCGTCCTCACCTTAAAGTAATCCCTGTGACTCTGAAATTTGTGTTGTTGATACACACAGCAGCCCTTTTCACCAAAACAAGCAAATATCGTACCATTGCATATGCCTATACAGTGGATTTTGCAGTAGGTACTGTACCCACAGACATGTGCACATGTACGTGCACAATCGCACGCATATGCACGAATGCACCCGCCCACCATCATAAGCACATGCATGCATGCACGCACACACGCCGCGACACTGGTGAGCTGTAGTAACTTACCTCGCAGACAAGGATCAGACTCAACACACTGTATTCAAGAAAGGTGATAAGCAGATAAAAGACAAAGAAGACAAGTATGGGATGCACTGATCGAATGACTTACACGGTATGCATGGTGTGTTGGAGTATGTACCAGTGCATGTACTAATACCTAATGCGCATCGATACAGTGTACATTCATAAAACTGTAGAATGGGAAATTGATATGCCCTTAGCAGGTGTATACATTTTCTAGATGCGACGGAAGGATGTTTTCACTACAGGGAAGCGGTACCAAACAGTGATTCAATATCGAGGCAAAATTTCAAGTTTCCCAATGAAAATAAGGTTGTTACTATTGTAGTATTGGTGTGAGGGGGGGGGGGGGGTGGGGGGGTGTCCACAGTTCATATCCATGACCACATGCAGTTTTTTGCAGGTCTACAAGCAGATATAAAATCCGTAGGGGTGAAACAATTATACCGAGTACTCGAATATTCGCTCGGTTTTTCAGAAATAATCGTACTCGGAATAAATCAGAGTACTCGTTCATACATGGTACATGCATTTACCACAGAAATCTGCAGTTTCAGAGCAGCAGTCGGCAGATATTGATGTGCAGACTGTGTGGTGAACATTTGTTCACGAGTAAAGAGAGCCCAAATGACCCACCAACCAATATACCAGAGAAAAATGACTGCCACTCGGTTCATCAGGGTTGTATCATGTGATTTTAAGGCCCTCGGTGTGCAATTTTTAGGAGATGAAGAATACTCGAATACTCGAATATTCGATCGGAGAAAATCAGAGTACTCGAACTCGGGATTTCAATGCCAACTTTCACCCCTAAAAATCTGTATATGCGGCTCTTTAGAGTATGTTATGGAACATTACAATTTAAAAACCCACACAGAGTGAAGTCACATGAAAGTTCACCCATCCACATCACCAGACGGTGAACTAATTTTTTAAGAAACACAACCGGCTTAATTGGGAAGTTTTACTCATGCCAGGCCACCACCACTACACAGTGCTAATAACAATTACAGTCAGTAGCATAGTACCATTGTGGCCAAAGAAATCCAACCCACGTGCCGAAAGCAGCGCCAAGGCTCTTGCAGCCCCTGAAGCCCTCGGATCAGTTTTGGAAAAGTGCAAGATGTAATTGAAATGGAAGCGCGGCGCGACTTTTGACTAGCGGGTCGGATTTCTTTGGCCACGACTATAGTAATACATATTGGACAGGGACCATACCTGGTATCTGCTACCATTGCAGTAGTACAGCTTCTTCACGTACGGATCATACTTGACCTTGGAGCGGCCACTTTCGTCACAGCGGCTTGTTGCATTCACACCGACCTAGCAGCAGAGACCAAAGAGCAGACCATGCACCGGGATGTTGACTCCATTGGCGAAGTTAAAGTAATGAATGCCAATCAGAGTCACCGATCTTCCTCATCATCCCCTGCTACACCTAGCTATTCTACTGGCAAGCCCGGCAGTCCATGTAAATTATTGTTGCCATGGAAAGCATGGGCATCTGGCCATGGCCAAACACGTGCACAAAATTCAGTTGCACACTATCTGTAGGTAAGGCATGGCTAGATCAGATTCCACTAAGTACACAGAGTCAAAAAGCACATAGCCAATCACTGCGGCGAAAACGGATGGCACGCGTGGACATGAACAGAACGAACGTCTTACCTTCTCAATGTATGGACCTCTGTCACCTTTGAAGCCCTGAACAAGACAACAAACAACAATTGAAAGTTCCTTCATGTCACGAGTCGAACTGCACAAACACCTGAAATCTACATTTGAAAGGTCCAGATTTGGCAAAATAGATCTGCAGCACCACATCCACATTACCTGTAAACAGCAATATCAACTCACTGTAGGGCTGACTGGGTTAGAGCACTAGGGTACTGCTATAGCATTACACATCCTTACCAAGTCTCCCACCCACCCATCCACAATATCATCCCCCTCCCCAGCCCATCCACATGCAATACCATTATCCCCAACCCATCCATCCACATGCTTTCAATATGTAATTACTATATTGACAGTGTGATCTCTCCCTCGGTCATGACTTGTTTTATGTACCAGGGCCGGAGGCAGCTCGCACGGAGCGGTGCGGCCGAGTGCCCTGTTGAAAATTTTCAGAAAGGAATTTAGAAGGCAAATCCTGCACTCTGGGCGCATTTCATTTCTCCTAGCCCCTGGGTATAACTTGCAAGTCTGGTATTCCAATGCAGAACGCACTACATTGTAGTTTCAGTCTATGCATCTATGATAGTTCCCTATACGTAGAATGTTCCTGATGACAGGGTAATCGGGTTTTTTTACGACTCCCTGTACAAAAGCATACATCGAAACTTTTTCTCCCCAGTTTCGGACGTTCCCACGTGGACCCACTTTTTGAGAAATTGGTACGGCCATGGTCGTACCGGCCGCACCAGTGGCGCCGGCCCTGTGTACATGGATGGTGACTCCCGGCATCCATGTGCCTTCACGAAGAAGACTGGAAGGGGGTCAGGTGAAAATGACAGAATACCCTGGAAAAACAACAAAACGACTGCAGGTGTGCTCACCTTTGATCCCTTTGCGCCTTGCGAACCCATGGCTCCATCCTCACCAGGTGCACCCTGCAAGTTCAGAATGGTGGAAGAGACAAATCCACGAAACATTGAGCCAGGAAGGAAATCAGCAATGGGATCAACCAGTGAAGAACACAATGTCAACACATCGGAGGTCCAGTTCAAATCAGGCAAGAACATTCAGGCTGTGAGCTTGGTAAGCTAGGTGACAATTGGTGAACTGCGGCTCCCCATCTATCTGGATCAAGTCTTGACCAGTAAATATTTGATCATCCCGCATTTCCAGAGACACTCTGCCAAGCTGCGCAAGATCGATATCAGTATGTACTACTACTGCATGTATGTGATACGTGTTGGACACAGTAGACAGTTCCGCCCCTGTATGAGGTTCGCCCTCTATAATTATAGAGTTTGTATGTATGTATGTATAACTCATAATCACAAGGTGATTGTAGAGGCATTAATCAGCGAGAGAATTGTGAATGATGTCTCTGAATCCAACTCTATCGTGTGATTATATTATAGAGTTTATTGGTCCAAAATCCACTATACACAGCTCAAACGTGGAATGAACTGTAAGGACTTCAACTTCAAAGTTTAGATGGACAAAACTCCCTGTATAGAGTCCAGCCAATTGGTTTCCCTTTATGCAGGGTTCGCAGCCACGAGGCAAACTGAAAAGGTGTTACCTTTCGGTGGCCAATTTCTTTGAACCATCTACACGGCAGTAAATTTGTTTGAACCGTACCCAGGGCAGCGTGCGGCTTGCAGACCTTGCACTGCTCAACTGCGGTACAACAGTGCCAGTAACTTGACTAACTTCTGACCTGCGTACAGGGGATGTTGGACCTATGAACCCTATATACGGTGCTGGACATGATCATTATAGAGCATTAGCATTGTTCTGCAAGTCGCAAGCTCGAAAGTCAAAACAGCAATGACTATGCAAGAGACCTTGCGCGGGATCTTTTAGGTTGCATGCCCGCGTGACATGCGCAAATCGGGCCAGCTCACTGGGCTGGCTGCTAACCGTTGCGTTAGCATGCTAACGCTCATTAAACCTTCTCCTGAGTCCAACATACATAGTATGTATGTATATTTATCATCAACCACCGCACCATAACTGCACTCTCCAGCCGACCTCGACACGTTGCCACACTCACCATCAGTAAAGCGATTTTGGTCGTAGAGGTGCCAAATGTGTCGCAAGAAGAAGATATCAGAATACGAGTACTCTGACAAAAGGTACACCTCTCTTATCTGCACCATTGCTAGCACCAGTTGATTTTCAGGACATGAGCACACACGTACGGTGACTGTATGTAAATCAAGCATTAAAAAAAACTCACCTTAGAGCCGCGTGCACCAGCATCACCTTCTGCTCCAAGTGCTCCCTGAAAAGATCACAACAGACAAATATAAGCGAGGGTCCCTGGTTCGAGTCCTGGAGGTGACAGTCATTTTTTCTCAACTAAGACTTTTCCCGCAACTCCCTCAACCTTATGAACAGACATATATCACAACCAATCAAATTGGCCTGCTGTGGGCGAACCACTGAACCGTCCACATAGCAGCATCGCTTCCTTGAATGTGCATAAATCAGGAACATGCCTACAACAAAATTGCTTCCCACAACAGGGACATGGACTCTCTTTCCGGGTTTTGCAATTTCGAACCACAATGTCACCCTAGTACTCTCTTGCAGACAATGGCCACCAAAAGCATGTTTACTTGACATCTAAAGCCAGCTCCTGCCAGAGACACATGCAGGTCCGTGCTTTGTCAAGTACAGTTGCCGCCGACGGTGTGCAGCAGTGACTTACTCTGGCACCCTTCTCTCCTTGCCGTCCAACTTCACCTGACAGTCCCTATGGAGTGCACACAAAAACAGATCAAACCAGTGTTGGTGATTGCCTTAGTAACAAGAAAAACATGCAACCTAGTCTAGGAGCAGATCATCTCGCAATACATTGCATTTGATAACACACAAGTCCATCCATTCTTGAATTCCTGCGATACACACACCGTTCGATTACACATACTTCTTCGCCAGAATCCACGGAATCCAATTCCGTCCATTCTGGAGAGAAGGCAAAACTTCTGATTCTCCTACCAGAAGTTATGCATTTCGCGTGCGCTTTCTTGACAATACACTTGCCTGCAGCATGTGCACTACTGATATGCACTAAGAAGTGTATATGTGATTTCCTTCCACGGTTTTGTCGAGTTTATCATGAGTACAGACTACAGAGTACTGCAGTACAGACAAAATAGATACTTGCTTCTACAGCAATTCCAGTTGTTCGGCGGGCCCGCGCACTATCGTAAGCTTTTTCACGCAGTTCAAAATGAAACGAAAAAAAAAATGAAAAATGAAACGAAATAGGACGCGTGTTAACTACCGCATATGTCATGTCTAGGCTCATCGAGGGCCATGGGACATCCTCGCGGGCTGATGGAGTGATGCTTCCTGTCATGCCAGGCATGGCTTTGTATGCACATCCATTTTGCTGTAGATGATGTATTTTACGTATGGGGCTGCCGGTAAAGGGTTAATACCACGCTGGTGTCCTACCGAGACGCTGCTGCACTTCTAAAGTTCTCTAGTTGGTGACAGTCCAAGCCAAAGACTGACGTAAGCCTATAGTTATGCGCGAAGATGCACTCGAGTGTTGGTGCCACTTCGAGTTTTGGCAAGGGAAGTAGCACGGCCGTGCAGGGTATTTGTAGAGCTAAACACATAGTGTGTCATCATTTTCCCCGTGAAGTGTGCAGATACAGCAGTAGGCTAACCTGTGGACCAGCTCCACCATCTTGTCCAACTGGTCCAGTGTCACCCTGAACGTGAAGATAACCAGATAAAGACAAGGAGAAATACAGCAAGGTTATAGCCTATTCAAGAAAAGATGGATCATGTCACCGCTAATATTCAATTTTAGATGAGTTCAGTATTTCAAGTCCCAATTCCCCATAATACAACTCGGCACTGGGAAACAGTCATTTGACTTATCCAAAGTATATTATTATCAGGTAGAATTGCACACCTACGTATTTCTGAGAAGCTCGACCAAAACTATTCGTAAAATCAACGGATCCGCATGCCTCTCCTAATGACAAATGCTTCTCCACTAATTGGCAAGTCCCCAAGTTTTGGTAATTTACCAGAAGGCATTTAATGCCATTGCCCTCCTGCAGATTGCCTTTATACCAACTAGTTCCATGTTGCGTTTACCGAGTTGCCTCTTCATTTTCACACCAAGCTGAAACTCACCTTCTGTCCTGGCTGTCCGTTCTGTCCGGGAACTCCTGGTGCACCCTGTACCGGAAGAGCAAGCATACAACATATACATGGCAGTAGAGTATGAGAGAGTACGAGAGGCAGATCCACATGCACACGCAGATCCACATGCACACCAGCTAGGACCGTGGCATCCTTTTCAACGTCGATCTAGTGTGATTCTCTCCCGGCTCTGACCACACTCTTCCGTTTTTACATTTTTTTTATGTGCGTTGACTAAAAAAATACAAAAGAATAAAGTATTACTGTTACACGTGCACGGTGAAGACACCATGATGGTATACATACATTGTCTCCATTCAGTCCATCTGCTCCAGTGTGTCCAGGAGTACCCTGTGGAAAGGGGAAGAGTGCAAAAACAGTACTTTAGCGTAAAAGTAGATGAGGATACACACACACACACACACACACACACACACACACACATACATACATACATACAACACACACACATACACACACACACACACACACACACACAACATCATCACTACACGCATCAGTGAATACCGCCGTCAGTGCATGCCACACAGCTTACACAGCACAACACAATCCCGTGGCTGTAAAGTCCCATTCATGGACAGGAGAAAGCTCACCTTTGCACCGCGATTACCCTTTGCACCCATCATACCACGGTAGCCCAGCGGTCCAGGTGTTCCTTTCGGCCCAGCTGGTCCTTGCTGCCCTTGTTCACCCATTTCACCTGGAAATCCCTGCAGAAGCACATGAAAAATGGCCATGGCAAGGAATGAATGCAGAATTTATCCGGCAAGGAAAGAAGAATGATTTCTGCCTACACAGGACACAATAACACGCTCGGTAAATGAAATGCATGTTTGCATACAAAAGTGACGGGATCATCTAGGAGAATCACGGCAAGAAGGTTGAACAGTGGCGCCCTGAAAAGTGACACTGTCATGGGTTGCCTAGATCAGTGCCCGGTCCCCTCCACCACAGGAGTATCAGCTGATGCTGACAATGTAGAACCCTAGGTGGCTACTGTTAATGCAATAGCAATTCAGTCAATAGTCCCTAGCAGTTCAGCTCTACACCAAACACCTACCGGCTCGCCGTACTCTCCAATGCGTCCGATTCTGCCCGGTCTGCCTGAAGGGCCCTGTGGAAAAAATGCATGAAACACACCCATAGTTTGCATACTAGTATGCTATTATATTTTACGTTTTCTTCTTCAACACACCCATAGTTTACCCATGTTATCCTTCAGGTTTGCTTCTGCGACTGACACGTGAATCAATCGGCCAGTCCAAGCCCCACATGCCTTGACACTTCCCCATTCCTGATTGTTCTATCCACCATATGCTATGCAACGGTACATAAATGCACCTGCATGCTTAGAGATGTGAGATTGATGATGAGGATGAGGATATCCAGTAGCTTCTATGTTGGTTCTGTATGAACTAGCATTCATATTATTGACGATCGACATTGTGGATAGCTACCAGTGTCGAGAATAGGACTCTGAGATCAGCTCAGTGCGGAGACCCGGAGGGGAAATGGGGACAAATCCTCATATCAGACTGTCTGCCTTATTGCAGTCATGACGTAACAGGTACATGGTTGAGAGAGAGAGAGAGAGATGCAGACAGCCACAACTTATGCAAGCAGTCAATACAAGGTATCATGCAAGTATCTTACCTGGGCACCTGGCACGCCATCAATACCATCCGGACCATGAGCACCCTGTGCACACATATGACAGACACACGCAAGGTCAAGTTAAAGGTAGTCTGCACGCTGGCTGTAGAGGCAGAAGGTGTTATAGACCTTCTGTTTCGACGCGGCGGTTAGACACAGACAGGGCGGCTCTGGTACTCATCTCCTCCTCCTTGTTACCTTTGCCTCCTCAACAGAAGATAGGCATCAAGTCCCAGATGAGCCTCCAGCGGGTGGAAATGATATTCGCTCAGATTGTTAATTGAACTCGCAACCTCATGTTCTGAAGGATAATGCTTTAACCAGTTTCCAGCCACACACCTCAGCACAGAAGGAACATATGATGCACATCATACGTTACATCAAACAGTTTTCTTTAACTACAGTCTCCACTGGTCGACAATTGCCCATAAAATGTGCAGCAGTTCGTTTTGCAGTGCTACTAATTGAATGACAGCTTGGTTCAAGTTATGTGTACTGTACGTAGAAGACCTGGACAATCGATTTTTCAAATCACGGTGGAGAAAGCAAACACGGGGAGTATACGAGAATGATTCGGAGGTTTGAGAAAAGTAATGCATGGCTTACCACATCACCCATTTCGCCTTGTGGGCCCTTCACAGATGGGTTGTAGAGTGTGTGATCTGTCATGATAGACTGGAGTGACAAAAAGATTAAATCCAAGATCAGAGGCACTGTGCATGTATTTCCTGTGAACATCAAGTACTCATAAGACAATAATAATTATTGTCTACTTCAGTACATGAAATAGACCCTTCCTACGCTAGCTGCCATGCCACCAAAACTTTAGTTCCAAAGGACCAATACATTGAAGTTAGTTTTCCAAGCAGCATAGCAAACTTCCAATGATGCTGCATCAAGAGTCTCTATGCCGCATCACTGGTAGTTTGCTGTGTCTTAGACATGCACCATATATTCCCTCGGCAGAGCTGCGCAGGGATATAAGCTGCGCCCCCTTCCTGTGCAAATTGACACGTTACAGCTTGTACTTGTTTGTATGAAAATGATTTCTCGGTATATAAATTACTGATGCAATTTTGAATCAATTTTTCGAGAAAATATTAATGCAGCTCCTGGCCCTGGAAAACACAGTAATGTGGTTAACAAAGCAGCATGACAAACCTCTGCTGATGTTGCACCATTTCACAGTGGCCACATGCATGCGGTTACGATACTCACCCCCTCCGCAGGAAGTCCAGGCAAGTGTCCATGCGAGTAGGTCACATAGTATCCAGGTATTCCAGGTGGGCCTCCTGGACCAGCAGTACCCTGTATGTCAATAACACACATACACACACGCACAGACACACACACAGGGGCTCAATATAATTCCACCGAAATGAAAACAAAATGGTAAACCCTTCCAATCTCTCATCCACGTACATTCAGGCACTCAATACATTCAGATAGTAGAAGTAGTTATAACAATCATAAAAATTAATATTATAGACTCCATGGCATGAGAATATCATGATGAATTGGCTGCAGTGGAGCCTGCAAACCATGAACATAATTATGGTGCACACTGCATGACCATAGCCCTGTGTAGGTCATAAGGTTCTCAGAAGGGCGCATGCACATGTACATAATCTTCTCCCCCCCCCCCCTCCCATGTATAACATTTGCAAAAGTCCTAGGCTTCCAAGCACACATGCTCCATAAAATTTCACAACATGCAGGTATGGAAGGAAGAAACCAAGCAGGTTTTACAGGTTCTTACCCTTGGTCCTCGGTGTCCAGGCTGTCCATAGTCACCCTGCGACAAACAAGAGATAGCATAACAAATCAGAAGATCAAAGCCTTCACAGCATCGACTCTAGAATATACACAATTTCATTCCTAATCGTGCCGCATGTGTTCGGCAATTATACATGAGGCGCTTTGCTCCAAAGTACCAAACATGTGCGCTATTTTAATACATATTATTAGTTAGCTCACTAGCTGTTATCACATGCAAAAAGCTTTTGATTCCGGCAGTGAGATCCTGCCTCCTTCTGATACGGCAACCCAGGTTCCGTAGACTGCATGAAGCGGCCCTATTGCAGTATTGGCCCTAGCCCGCAATAGAGCACAATGAGCAGACTTCAAACTTCCCAGATTGCAATAGTTCTCAATACATGTACACATGCACCACAAAACCAGGAGAGAATGGTGACAACCAGTTAGACTATACTAGTTACAATGCTGCCTTTCATGCACATAGCAAAGCGTTAGCAACTGCTGCATTATTGACAATTCAAGAGCATCACCTAGTGAGAGTGGTCAGCTTTGTCACCCACATCCCATATTCAGTGACACTGCAAGAAGCCTTGCGAAGTTGCCCCAACTGCTGACCCAATATGCCCTCACTGCAGTAATTAGTAATTGCTGGCAGTACTTCAAATCACCAATAAGGCTAACAGCAAGCAAACCATTTACAAAGAGGCGTGTAACTTGACTGCAGCGCAACCTAACTGAAGAGACCCAGCACAGTGATATAACTGGTTCATTCACTAGAGCCTCACAGCGAATCCTTTGCATCCAGTAGGGCAGGCACCAGGCAGCTGCGGCCGAATGATGAAGTTGTGAAGGAAATGGCCCTCGGGAGGCACCGGCGTGGTATCAGGTTGGTCTGTCATCAACAAACATCACACAGCAAGCCATCATCAGCACACACAGAGCGCAAGTCGGTTCAACCATTGCTTACACAGCAGAGTACTTCAGAAAAGACTTTAAATGTGCAAGCTATGGAAAATAGGGTACATTTGGGTTACAATAATGTACAAGTAGATCCACCACCAATCAGAACAGCAGACTGAGAGCAAAGAACATGGACAACTAAACTGCATATCATAGTGCAAAGAACAGTGTGGAAATAGCAAAAAAAGAGAGAGGCAAATTCACTACTCAAATGAGAAAGTTAGCCAGTGTGGGCGGAAACAGAGACAGCACTAACATTATGATATGCAGCCAGGTGAAGCAAAGGTATCCACATGATTATTGGGCATATGATTATCTATAATTATAACAGCTATAAATTCATAATTATCGAGGAGACGAACTACACACACTAACGCCTCTCGGAGTGTTTCAAGCAATACTACTTTTGTAGTCCTAGCAGCATTACACAGCATCAGCGTGACATGACAACACTCAACAGTACAGGACAGAGCTCTCCTTCTGATCAAAGAACTCTCCAAAGTTCAGGGCTCACAGTAGGCATGCAGGATCGACAAAAGCGTCGTGCGAGGGCGGGTTTGGTGCACGTGAGTCGCGTGACCCCGGGAGAGTACCGATCGTGTACATCCCACGCATCCAAAACAGAACAGAAAAGAGAAAGAACCCGAGTTGTACTTGTACCATGTGTACTGTTCTCGTAGTTAGCCGATGTTCGCGATATTTTGGAGGAGAAGGCGAAACGCAACCTGTGCTAGTCCCAGTAAAAACAACATGCCATGTTCGACCAAGAGCTGATCCTACAATGAGCGATCGTGAGGATTCCAAAGGTAAGAAGACAAACAAACGAGTCAGAGCTCGCCAGGCAGGTAACGCCGAGAACATGATGACACCACACGGAGCTGGTGATCGGATGGAGGTGAACGGGATCAGCAAATCCACCGGGCGTTTGTCGAGGGCCACTGAAGACCAGGTTTCCCAGGGTGCCAGTTCCTCCATGATGGCGAAATGCGCTGCCACAAGAACTCCAGCGAGAATGAAAGCACAACGCCGCGGGCGAACTGAGGAGAGAACACTGAACAATCTGTGCACAATGATTTTCTCTTCGACGGCACGCGTTGCTGTTCTGCTGCATGCATGCGTTTTTCTTGTTGTTTGATCTTCACACATTTTCGCGCAAGCGGTTGCACGCCGCTGGGACTCGGGGTTACTAAAATTAGTACAGAGCATCTCCCCCTTGGTCGATTTGGACAATCTATGGCTCAAAATTTTCAGGAGACCCTGGCAAAGAAATTTACCGAGACGTTTTTGGATACTCCTTTCGAATGCTGTACTATATCTCACGAAGTTTACGCATATGCTCTGGCATACCCGTGTGAGTAATGAAAATTTGTTTCGGTAAATCTTTTGGAACACCTGTCATCTGTGCCTGGGCCAAGTCTCAGCTTCGTAGAACCAGGCTGAAGTGCTGCTAACTCCTTCAAACACCCCCTACTTCGAGCAAAAATGCGACGAAATGCTGACTGCTGATTGGCCAAGCTGGCATTTTGGAGCACGTGCACCGCCCCCATCTAATCGACGCTTTTCTACGCAACTGTGAGCCCTGAAGTTCACGATTTTGCGTGAACTATGACCTCAACGTTAGAAATCCTAGCTTTGTATGATTATCTCACGCATACTGCCAAGGCACTAATAAACACAGCACCTGGTGGAATACTCCGAATAGTTTTCACACTATATTCGTCTTTTCACTGGTGCTACTTCTCCGGCTAAGCGTGACCTCAGCCATAAGTCATACCGGTAGGTCTGAACTGCGACATTCCGGGTCATTCGTTCTTTATTGGTCCTGTATTTTCACAGCACCTGTGTGAATGCGTTATCATTTCGTCCAGTCGCAGAAGCACTGGTTGATCTAACGTTACTAAGAATACGACATCGTGTTACTTTCACCCAGTTTCAAGTCGGTAGACTCTACAGTGATCCTACCTACAAGTAACGTTAGTACCTTGTGTTCCAAATGCGATGCCGGCCGTGATGGCGAGGACGAACGCCACGCTCCGGATCATCATCCTTGCCGACCTTGGATTGGACTTGAACGGCTGACACTAATCAAACAGGGCGAATGCGTAGTATCACTCTGTATGCTCCGACTCGGAGTCAGTAATAAAGTTAGAATATCCAGAAGTTCTTCAACCAATGGCAATGAGCTTGCACTGAGTCTGTGGGGGCACCGTAGTTGGAGCAACGCTCCGACCACACATCCACTGTAACCGTTAGCTGGTTTACCTTTCCTTTACTTTAGTCCGCAGACCGGCGCTGAGTGATGTGAGAGAACGGTTTAGTGTTAGCATCAAGCGAACGCCGTGGTCGACCTAGCTACTCCGTAGACCTTGGTAGCCAGTACATCTGTGACCGCGGCATACAGGAGAATCACTGCCAAGTGTGGACCATGGTGGACAGTCTGCTATGCACAATCTACAAAAAGATACAGTAATCTGATAATGCTTGTCACCAAGGGACTGGATTATTGGATAGGTCTCCCTCACTATGCCGCGGTATGGCTGCGGAGCCGGACCGGAGTCTGGCACATGCATCATGACTGACTGACTGTGTTCCATGGACATGGCTGTCTGTCAGGACAGACTCAGTCATCATGCATCATGTGGGATCGAAGCAGAGGTCTAGACTCCGACTCCGAGTGCAGTGTAGCGAACTGAGCCAGTCAGTCTCACCGCTAGTAAGGCGTTACTCACGCGCGCGGCATGCAGCTGTGAAATGTGTGATGTCCTGTCTACACGACTTCGTGTGGAGTCGCAGACAGAGGCGAGGTCGGGTGCACAGGCACATGGACATGGTGTGTTTGAGAATGAGATTACACAGTCATGTACGTAGAATCTACATGCCAAATATACAGTCATAATCATGATAATGCTGCTGTTGAGTGTTGTGCTGACTTTTGAAAAGTTTTGTAGTTTACATGGTTTAGGTTTGGAAGAGAGATGTAAAAGCTCCCCAGCTCGTGGTCACATAAAAATTAATGACTGGAAGAGTACATTAATATTTTTAGTGAATGCGGCTGTGGCTGTAGACGTGCAGTGAGCATGGTGAGTGTGTCTAAACTACACAGGCACGATTGATGGTGGTGAGACGGGTGTTTTTCTCTCTCTTCTCTCCTCTGCAAACGGTGCAGGCGCGGGACACTAGCGTCAGGAGATTGATAACCCAGCCAAGCTGCAGTCGCTGCTTACATTTTAGCTACTTGCTTCATCCATGGAGCGGCCCATTCCACAAAATTATTCCGAACGTGAAAGCAGAAGCCACAGTCATGGTTGCTTCCTTTCTGGTCTTTCCAGTCAAAATAGAGTATTGTTTGTTTCCCTTTTCACAAAGCGAACGCGTATGATGGTCCGCTGGGGTCTTGCCCGCTGGAAAAGGGTTGTCTAGACGGACGCTTGTCAGTGCCTGTGTGCTGTGAGCGATGTGGTGGCTAACGCTGTCAGCGTTGTGGATAACTGCATGACATTATCTACACTCTTTGGATGGTACTCCTCATATTATCCTGGCCTGAAAAGGCTGAATTTGCCTGGATTTCTTCGTCCAACTGACAGCGAGGTGTTTCTGTGCGGTGGTGCGGAGTGCACAAAAAGCCTTTGGAGCTCACCGACCGCCGCCACACTTGCCTTGCACGGCCCACGAGGCTATATGGACGAATTTGAGCTGTCACGATTCTCACGTGAAACGGCTGGGAGAATGCTAGTTTGCACTGGGCCTGATGACAGGTTGCTGTCAAGCGGCTGAACTGTCTCGTCGAGTTTGAGCCCTGGGGAGGTACGGCGGCGAGCATTGGCTTCTTGCAAAGTCCCTGGCCAGCCGAGTCGGACTCCGCATGCCTCCAGCAGCTGCAGGTCCGGTGAATTTGAAGCAGAGGGTGACGACTGCATACCGGGCCGAATGAAGAAGAAGTCAACTTTACTTCCCTTCCCAACTAGCTTCTCCTAATCCAGTCACTGCTTGCTGACCGAGAGTGAAAGAAAGAGAGTTAGTACGAGGACCCTGGAGAACTGGACGTGTCCGCAGTTGGATTGAGAGCGTGGGAAAGACAATGAGGTAAGTGTCTCTTGCCTGGATTGGGATTGTGGTCTCCAACTTTAGGATGGTCGCTACCTGTATGAGCACTGACGTCGGTGATCTGTGTAGAATGGAAAACCATAACGTATCATGTGATGGATGGTGTGTTTTGTTGTATCACATCATACTTACAAGACAACATGAGTAGGGCAGAGATCTTGACCTGCGAATGTCAGGCACCTACTAGTAGTTCTGCAGCAGCGACCGATTGCGTGCATATACCTCCTGTTTCACTCAAACTTGTGGAATTCAACAGGATGTAGGTGTAGGTAATCCTGGTCTGAGCACCACAGTCATAGTGATTTGTGTGGTGCACACTCCACAACAGATGTAGACCCATCACTGGCATTGAAGGCTGTGATTAGTGACCTTGCAAAGCAGCTAAGTGCTTACTGTTCTAGGAAAGAGAGATAAAATGACTACGAACGTGCTAGTAGAGGAGGGCATTCATCGTACAAATACATGACTTTGTCGACAAGTACATACTAGTGCACTGGGTGTGGGCACAGCCACTGATCAGCAATTCAGATACAACTATCACCCCCCCCCCCCCCCCCCCCTCATACTATCCTCGTACGCCTCTGTATTTGGATGGAATGGAGGTCACTTGGATATGGCAGAGTATCTGACTGGCAGGGGCAGTTTTAAGTGTCCTACGGCGGAGCCAACAGCACAAAGTGTGTTCCCACATGTGCACACATACACATACACACACACACACACACACACACACACACACACACACACACACACACAAGATCGACAGAGACGGAGAGAATGGGAAAATGGAAAGGCTGTGATAACAATAATATTAGAAGAGAACAGAAGCAGGACAAGGTGGCAAAATAATTAGGCAAGACAAACATCGTGCCCGACACACCATAACTACAGCTCACGTCTAACGGCATAACTAATGGTCATACTGGAAAGAGTCCTTTCACCTTGACTCCCCAGATCTGCACACTTTGATTTACCGGTTGCACTGCAGACTCTTCCAAGTCACAGGAAATGGGCTTTGAAAGGTAGAAAATGGCACCAATAACACGGCATGTACATGAAAAGGCTGGATCTACTGTACATGTACTTCGATGTATGCCAAGCTGGCGAGAATGTGGATGAAATCAGAATATGCTGTGTTGTCATGCATTCAGTGGGTACACAGAAAATGGGCAAGGTTGTAGTCACTAAAGCACCTTTTGAAATTCGAACCTGTGGGCTTTACAGGTAGCTCCTCCCCCTCTTCTCTCCTTTCCCCTCTTTCTCCCTCTCTCTCTCTCTCCCCACCCACTCTCTCTCTCTCTCTCTCTCTCTCTCTCTCTCTCTCTTCCCCTCTTGTCGCTCCTGCTGTCTCATTCTCTCTGTTTTGTTGTTTTCATGTGCATTTTTATTATACGCTGTGCATCTGAGCAAGAATTGAGCAAGTTGTCGATTCGCTTCTGTTTCCATGCTTGTTGGTCATGTTTTACATGTACATGTATGTATGTTTGTCCAGGGTTTGTGCGCTATTGGCCCTTGTGGCCTGTGCCTATGCCCAGGAAGGTGAGTCAGTTTGACTGTCGGCGAGACCTTACTTTTGCCGGGGATTGATTCGACTGATCATTCAATTTGTAATGTCACGTTGTGCACGGAGTTCGATATGGGGCTAGAATCGGGGCTACGGCCTGGAGCCAGCCCCATGGCAAGGCAACAGAAAGAGAAAGGTCAAGGAGCTGTGGTTTGAGTCGGAGTGGGCAGCTATAGTCAAGTACAGTCAACCTTGCGAATACCGACCCTTGATCCTGCATGAGAAAAGTGTCGTTATTCCGAGTTGTTCTTGTTTTTGAGGTGGAAAGCTTACAGTCAATTGGTCACTAGGTCTGACGATTGTGTCGTTATTGGTGAGTTGTTGTTACACCTGAGATCGTTAGTCATGAGGTTGACTGTATTTGTCTTGGCTTTGTCTTCCCATGTGTGTGCACGCTCTTCATGTACGCTCTACGCATATAAAGTGTCAATAGAAGAAGGTAGCGCCGAAGGTAGGTTGATGTCATATTGTTCTATTCTTGTAGGCTCATTCTCTCCCAAAACAATAGCCGCATGTACCCTGAAAAACCTGTGGGTAGTCACTCATTCAGTCCTGAACTACAATCATATCAATGAGAAGTGTTCAGGAGTCAAAGCATGCCATACAGTATAATAATAACGGAACTGTGCAGGAAAACAATGATGCTGCTTTCTGTGTGTTCCCGGTGCTCCAGTAAGTGTTTTATAGGTGCTTTTCTTTCCACTCTTTTACTACAGCTTTAATCTCACAGCCACATGGCACGCAGACGCTGATTCCCGGTAGTCGATTCCGCCAGCGCTGCACGTTCAGTTTGCCTGGCATGCTCAAGGATGAGCCAATTCTCTTCCGCAAGTCTGGAAGTTCGGATCTTCTGCCAGGAGAGAAGCGAGGCGAAGGCGACTATATGATGACGATTGAAAGCGTCACAACGGCTGATGCTGGAACGTATATATGCTCACTGACAATCAGTGATTCTGTGTACACTGCAGAAGTCACGCTTGAAGTGGGTGAGTACCAGTCATCATCCACTTGGCTTGTATTTTTCTTTAGGACATAATGCACTATTAAAGGGTTGTCCATTTTTAGAACTTTGTGTATTTATTTCGATAAAATAGTGATACTCAAGCTGGGAATTTGAATAACCCAAGAATAACCCATGCCACCAATAGATCACCAATGTCACGAACATCAGTCGTGATCATGGAAAACATGGCTCATTCAAAATAATCCAATTCCCAGCTTGAGTATCACTATTTTATCGAAATAAATACACAATTATTTCAGTGTGATACCAATCCAAGCTAGGGTTTCAGCCACCCCATTGGCCTTTTGCAGTCACTGGTATCTGACGAAATATCTTGATTGGTCCTGGTTTGCATTTCTTTTGCTGAATGTGCTCTGCAGCGGACCCAACTGATGCACCGCCAGCTGGTAAGTAAATGTTGCCATGTTCTTCCATGCTTGAGAGTCTGCTCATGTAGCGCAACCTGCCATCCGTGTATTGCAATCGCAGAGCTTCAACTCCTCGCTCACTCCCTTTGTTGTTGAATGTCTTGCTTCTCCGTTGCAGCGGAACACAAGAAGTCGTTTGACCGCTTCGCGTACCAGCGAACATGCCGACCGGGATGCAAAGGCCAGACGGTAAGTTGAACGGCTTGTTCCAAGTATGTACCGTGATAGTGTTTCTAAGATAGCGTTCTCCATACTTGATGGTGCATTGAGGATTTCTCTGGGACTTTGTGTAGTACTGTGCTGTGCATGCAATGTGGACATGCTTGCTTTCAATCCAACAATCGCGAGTTTGGAGCCGTCAGTGTACGGACTTATGTTGTGGATTATTTCATGGTGTGTTGCTGCTGTTGCTGCTGATGCTCCAGGGTGATCACGGTCCACACGGTGACGACGGTTCAATGGTAAGCTGCATAAGTTAGAGATCTCCAGAGGGTGCAGGCAATTGTGTGTGAATCATCAGGTATATGCCCACTGACTTTCTACCAATCTTGCCTGTGTATTTATGTGTTACTGTGTTTGTCTGGGCACATGAACATGCATACACACATGTGTGTGCACAGTTTGATGGCACGGAGGTAAATACTTTTCATAGTGTTAACTAACAGTGAATCGGTAATATGTCATGGTAAACCTAGTGTGTGGCATCACCCACTTGGCTGCTGAATTGTGCCCACATGTGACTGATATGCTAAAATGAATTCTCCAAAGATGCATGATAGTCTTGGATAGCTGGATGGTCAATGATGTGCTTCAATTGCATTTCTGCTTCTCTCCAGGGTCCCGCCGGTCCACCAGGTCCTGCTGGCCCTCCAGGTGTAACAATGGTAAGAGAATACCGGCTGCTGGTTTTGTAGGCGTCTTGTGCCATTCACTGAAACACATTGTCAGGCTGCCATTATCATGGTGCTAGTATCCCCACACAAGCTATCTTTCTATCGACTACACACCGCTTAGTTTTGTCAGCATACCGTGTCATCCTTCACCGTCATTCATCGTTATCATTGGATTTGGTGTGCTTCTGCAGCGCCGTCCAGTGAAGATCAAGATCCTGAAGGGCGATAATGGTCCAGAAGGCCGACCCGTGAGTTTCCTCCTTTCTGTACATATAGCGTTGGTTAGAGCAGGGCGTTTGTTTCCTCCTGTCTGTGTGATTTTTTGTGTATTCGGCTGCTATTTCAGATGACTTGGAGTTGGCAAATGGGTAGTCAAGGGTGTGCATGCTGTGATAGGCTTATGCACAAGGAGACAACTGTGGTTTCACCGTATAAACCAAAAAGATGCCTTTCATTGGGACCTTCACCGCATTACGCGTCCGTTCAGAGCTTAGTGTAGCGCTCCGGAGCTTTGAAGGATTGATCAACGTTGTGTATGTGTGTCTCTCTGGCATCCATTGGTTGGCAGGGACCAGCTGGAGGACCTGGAATGCATGGTATGCACGGTATGCCGGTAAGTTCTTAAACTTGACCTAGTTAACAATACTTGTAATTATGCCATTGGCTAAATGGATCCAGTCTGGAAACTGCTGTTGCCGCCACAATGATTCCGGTCACTGCCTGCTGATCTTCCAAGGGTGTATGCCCCCCCCCCCCCCACCTCTCTCTCTATCTCTCTCTCTATCTATCTATCTACCCACCGTCCACTGTAGGATTTCAAACCAACCGGGTACACGTGTACCTGACACAGCTGTTGCAACTGGGTCAGTCCCGGGTACATTCATCTGCGGCTATTGTACATCAGGGAGTCTAGGGACTCACTGGTTGTGACCCGGTGTTCTTTTCCCAAGCGGGTCCAATTAGCCCCCCCCCCCCCAACCAGGTCGCTGACCCGCCTCTGGAGCAGACACTGCTACCTATTTATCTATATATCTCTCTATCAGCTCTATCAGCTCTATCTACAACATTGGGTATCTATTTACCTTTGTATCTATCTACACTTAGAGTGGAAATACACAATGATAGAGGACACAATATTCACACAGTAATGACACAACCAAGTCCTTTCTGATGGATGGACAGACGGACAGACAAGCAGATGGACAAGGAGAATTCACACCTACTTCCGAAAAGTACAAAAGATGGGTAAATCTGAGCGGCGGGAGAAAACACAGATTCGAGAGGTTGTCAAGAGCCTTGCAATACATGGCCCGGATAAGTGTTGTTTTGAATCCTCTGAGCTTGTAGAAAGTCACTACTACAGCATTTCAGCACTTGTTTTGTTTGTATTGCCATGCAGGGCTTTGCTGGACCAGCCGGTTCTGCAGGTGCCAAAGGAGCAGATGGACAACCAGTAAGGACAATTGCCTCTTTCTTTTACCGTCTTTTGCGGTAGATCAACCATTTCCCATTACATTTTGTCATTTAGCACAATGATGTCGGAACCCCGAAGCTGGCCGTAGAATTAGACTCCCCCCCCCCCCCCCCCCACACACACACACCTGTTTGGGCAGGTAGAATGGGATGATGAAATGCAACTAATGAGAGGAAGTGCGCACAAGGATTGTGCAATTACGTTGAAATGGCATGCGTTTTTTTCCTGTAGCCGAGCTTGTCCATTAGTGTGCTACATGACGGGTTATTGGTCTTGGAACGAGAGAAAGGCTATTCTTTTGTGTACTGGTATAAAGATATTTGTTCTTGTTAGAATACACTCACCTGAGTTTCAATTTTGGGCAGTAGTTTGCCATTTGTGCCGTGGTCTCACCAAGCCTTGCCAGTTCTTTAAAATATACTGGTGTTCATGGTGTTGATTCTGTTCTCGTGCAGGGTTATCCCGGTCAGGCTGGACCACCTGGAGCACCTGGTGCTCCCGGACCAGTAGTAAGTACAGAACAGTGTACAAGGAAATATATGATAGTTCTTTTTATGTGCAACTTGCATGCATAGCAAGAGCATGCCTTCAGCTTTAATTGCCACTGCGGCTTTACTGGTTGAGTGTCTTTGTCGCAGTCTTTCGCTCTCATATCCTGCATCGGGCAGCGCTGTTTATCATGTTCAAACAAACAAAAAATGGTTATGTCAAACATGCTGTGCTATATCTATGTGATGTTCTACATCTATCTTTTCCTTGGGCCTCGCGTGCTGCTGGCTGTGATCGAATTGAGTTTCTGGTTTGCTGCTGCTGCCTGACTACTAGGGCGAGGAAGGCTTTGAGGGAAGGCCAGGAGTGCCCGGAGCTGCTGGAGCTACAGGAGACAAGGTGAGACTGGAATCTTGCCGCCAAATCATTTACTACTCACCTGTTCTCCATTCTTTGAAAATGGATTCCTGGGTTTGTTTCAGAACGGCTCACTGTCAATATTGCGCTGTAACGTTATTGCCTGCGATGATGGTCAGTGTTGTGCTGTATCGTATGCTTTGATCGTCGGTGACCAAGACCCCGACTCGACTGCAATTCAAAGTCATGATAGCGTTATCAGACAGCCTTCGCCTGATATTGCAGTAATGGTATCGTGTGCAGCTTTGACAAAGCAGTTCTGCCGGATGCTTGCTGAACCTTGGACACACAAACATGGTGCAAAGTGCAAGCTAGGAAACTGATCAAGCCCATGTCTCTCCTAGACCTAAACCGTCCTGTATCTTGCCTTGACGAGAATCTTTTTCTGTGTGTTTCTACGAACAGGGCGAACGCGGTGTTCCCGGCTTGCCCGGTGTGAATGGCGAGGATGTAAGTCAGGCTGGCGGTGCATCCATTGTCAAACTGGCCTTGCCTATACCTTCTGATGGACATGTGTGCTTTCTCATTCACCAAGCCTATCATACTGAGGCATTTCATTCATTTGTCATTGGCAGTCGTTTGACGAGCCAGGAAATGTTAAATAAATACAAATACAAGTACACATTTGCTGTGATGAACTTGAAGTGTAACACTTACCCCATCCATTTTCATTGATTTTGAGGTTAGCAGGCTTCTTTCTAGCCTAGCTAATCTTTTCACCGATGCCATTTGACATCAGTAAAAAGAAAGCACAACTTGGAACACAGCGAGTAGTGTATAGTTATGGGACCCAATATAGGACAGTAGCTCGAGCGTTGGACTTGTCCGAAAATAATGGTACGCAGACTTGTTCCATGTAAGACAAGCTGTTGTTGATGTTTCTTTTTCCACCTCCTGTGCTATCCCGATGCTGCTTCGTGCAGGGCTCTGCTGGCGCGGATGGTCCCCAAGGACTCGAGGGAGTACCCGTAAGACCTCGAATTGATTTGTTGCCGGTGCTGCTTCTGCCGCTGTTGCTTTTCCAGGGCTCTGCTGCATGTTTGCTGGCGTTGATGATTGTTTTTGGTTTTTGTGCAGTGATGCTGGTTTCTCGCATAATAAGATGTGGTCATTGCAGACACTTCCCGTGGTGGAAAACAGTTATATGTTTCCTTCCTGCTTTTTTCGATACAGAATGTTGCATAGGTGAGAAAAAGGAACAAAAATGATGAGGATGAGGAGTAGAGGGGGGGGGGGGGGGGGGGATAGAATCGGTATGCCTACTGGAACTTATCATGCTTCTGAGTTGTAGTGATGTGTTGCTCTGTTGGCTATAGGGTGACCAAGGAGCAGAAGGCGAACAAGGCCCGGAAGGCAACCTTGTAAGTAATTAAAAAATGAAGTCCTCTTTCTACCAGGCCATGCTTCTTCATGCATTGCAGGCCGTGACTGCAGCAAGTAAGACTTGGAGGAAAAGGACAGTTGACTGACAGAGCCATTGGTTAACTTGTATTCTTGCACTGTCTTGACGTTGGCTCTGCTTGTGTCTATCCTGCCTGCAGGGTGATCTTGGAGATACTGGTGCAACTGGTGGCCGGGGAGCAAAGGTAAGGACTACACTATAGTCACATTATGGCTTGAGTGCTACGTTGCAGCCAGCCCGGAGTCATGTGACAGTGCTAACTATTCAATATGCATTGTTAAATAGAACACTATGATTTTTGCAAGACATCCGGAGTCCGGACTGACATGTGATGCCAGTGTGTCGATGTTTTCCTTGTTTGATACATGCTGACCTTCAGTATAACCAACTGTGTTCTTCTTGTCCATCGCATTGCTTAGGGAGCGCTCGGAGACACTGGAAATGTTGGACCCAAAGGTGCACAGGTAAGGCGGCCTTTGGAAATGAACCAAAGAGAAATTGGAAGTTAAGAATGAAGTGAAGCCGGAACTGGCTACCATGCATTCATCTAAGTCAGTTCGTGCTAGTTAAAATTTGCATTGGTGGTTTGAGCTGAATTCACAGTGAGCTAACGTGCCTGCAGAATGCTCCAGTAGAATTGTGTACTGTTTCACCGCCTAAAGGCTGTAGGCATTATTCATTTCCCTGGGCAGCATAGTACTGGCATGACATGAGGTATTTTTAACCAATAACCTCATATTTCAACAATTTTCTGTTGAGAAATATGCACAAAACCATGAATTCCTTCTGTAAACCAAACACCACGGGATATGGGATATGCCCCCTCCCATGCCGTCTGGGGGATCCAGCCATTTCTACTCACTCCCGCTATATAATACTCAACTCGTCCTGCTTTTGTTTTCTGCTGTCATCTTGTGTAGGGCATGACCGGTGACAAGGGTGCGATGGGAGCCAAGGGTGGAGTTGGATCTCAGGTATGTATGGTGTGGCACTTGTGTGTTTCTTATCCCGATCCTAATTCCTACACTAGTGCTCGAAATGACAGCAAACCACTGATGCGACTGCATTGATTCAGTGGACAATGCCGCAGCCAGCGTATGCACACATTCTCACGTAAATGTAACATTGCTACCCGTAGAAGGCAGTAGTCTTTCACAGGATCTGGGTGGTGGTAACTACATATACAGTGCGCTTACCCACATCGATGCAGTTATGGGACACCATATCAATCCTATTCTATTCTTTAATCAGCCCCAGCTGCACTTATACCAGTCGATGTGACTTACTTCGGCCTTCTTCTCACAGCAGTAGTGAATACTGTAGACTTATTAAACATCAGTTAGCCCCCAGGAATAAATGGCACTGCTGTGTTGTCTACAGACTTTCTTTTTTTTCTCTTTTTTTTTCTATTTCTGTTGGAGCTGGACGAGACTTCATGTTTGCTGTGTCAAATCATTGCTGTTGAAAACCATTGAACGTGTGTCCTTTGCAGGGTGCTACTGGAGATATTGGTCCTGAAGTCTACATTGTAAGTTCCATTGCATGCTAAGACCATAGGATGACTTGTTACATGTCTGCAATGATCGTGTTGGGCTTGTTGGTGGTGTGTCGTCACTGTCAATCATGATACGTTCTTATCCGATTCTGATGCCAGCGTTGTAATACACAACCCCGTGTTATCCACTGTGGTGTCACCTCATATCTTTGCCGCACTGTTCCATGTTTCTGTTTTGCCATCAAGCTGATGACCATGCAATTCACTCTGTGCTATTCTCTGCCCTGGTTTCGGCTGATCTCGCCTGTAGCATCGACGCGTCAACAAAGAATGCAATGCTGATACGTTTGGTGAAGTTGCGTATGGACCTGATATGGGCAAACTGTACTTCTGCAATGGAAACACGTGGGAGGTATGTAATAATTATGGCTGTGAATGCCTGGTTGCTGTTGAAGGTCCCATTCCGGTTTTGGTTGGCAGATAAGGCAGAGTCGAATTGCATGGATGATATACCTAGAGGATATGCAAACTTACTATATGGAGTCACTATCCTGACAACTATCTGTCATTGGTACAGCTGGGCATACTATTGCCACTCAACAGTATCAAGCGTGCGATAAAGCCTGTGTGTGCATGATTTTTCTGTTTTGTCCTCTTTCTACAGTGTGTCGAAAGTGGTGGTTGCCAAGGTATGTTGTGCGGACTGTAGTTCACTGCTGTTATCTGACCTGGTTGAGATAATTTTGTGCTTCCAGTTCCACCGCAAATGTAACCATCATAATTTCTATGATCTGAGTCAATCAGCCATCAAACGTCTTACAATCGCTTTTGGAGCAGATGTTCGCTTTGCGAGCGACTCGGCACATAGTACAATGTGTAATGTATAACAAAGCATTGCCATTGTGCCCAGACATGGCATTCTCTCTCTCTCTCTCCCTGGCTTCTGCTAAAAAGTTGTCCAAGCTGCATATCTCTGGATGTGTGTATGCAATTGGTATTGTGAGTGTGCTAAGCCACACCTAGCTATTTCCTATTGTCCTGAATTTCTCTCTAGAATGCGATCAATTTGTCACCGAATGGACTGGCTGGTCACAATGCTCTGTCACATGTGGCGAAGGACAACAGACTCGCCGTCGCAGCTTCCGTCAGCGCCCCAACTTTGCCCTCGAAGACTGCCCTCTGGAGGAGACCCGGGATTGCCAGACCGGCGTGTCCTGCCGTAAGTGCCTATCCCCTACGTCTGTGAAACCCTTTCCCTGCTAGCCTCTTTGTCACTTTGCTGTCAGCGGGAATGACTGTACCTGTAACCGTGTATGTAGCATGTACATGTATGATGTGTTCCGCTGTAAACTGAGGCCACTAAATTTAACCAGGCCAACCAGTAACTGTATGGAGCAGTGCACATGCATTACTAGTGGCAGTGGTGACTAGTGTTGACTAGCCTAAACTGTATGGGTGTGTATGCTCCTTTATGCCTGACAGTGCAATGTATTGAGGATGGACGTATCTTCCAACTTGGAGAGAGAACGTACATCGCATCGCCCGGCAATGCGGCAGCTGATGTGCTGCTTGTTGTGGACGAATCATCCAGTATGGAGACTGAACATGCGTGGCTTCCGTCCATGGTTGAGCAGCTGGAGAACAAGCTACGGTCAGCTGGCGTTGGTACGGGTTCCAGGCCCAACATGTACAGTTTGACTGGCTTTGGAGCTGGCTCATCGCTGCCTGACCAGTGCCCAACAGCCAAGCTGACTCTGTCTGACAAGCAAAGATTCTTCACATCTAACAAGTACAGTGAGGCCAACTCACACTTGTCCACGGCTAAGAACGGTGACCGTGAAGACGGCTACCATGCATTGGTGTGGGCCATTAACACCACGCCGTACCGCCGTGGACCTGGGATCGGGAGGAACATTATCCTGGTGACGGACGAAGACCGGGACAATGACTGCGGCCACAAGTATGGACTCAACAAGCAGAATGTTGCCAACTCGCTCCTGACTGCTGGCTTCCGTCTGAACGGTGTGTACAACATGCAGTACGCCATCAGGAAGGCTGGTCAGGACATGGGCAGTGCGCTGGGTATTTACGGTAATGCGGACGGCAGCCGACTTGCCTTTGTTGCTGATGGCCAGGGCGGCTATAACAATGTGACGGATGTCAGCATGACGACCAGTACCAACCAGCCGCTCTACAACCGCTTCACCTACGGCGACTACATTGAGTGGACACTCGGTCAGAACGGTGTAGTCTGGGATCTGTCGACGCTGCGTGAAGTCGGATCCATCCAGTCGTCTTTCACGGAAGCTTTTGTCGACATCAAGACCAACGAGATTGCAAACCAGGCTAGGGCGTGCTCCGTGTGCACGTGCATGGAAGTTCGCAGTGGTGTCGCCCAGTCAGTATGTATCCCCGCCACCGACAATGCAGAGTGTGCGTGCTTGGCGCAGAACAGAAGGGTAAGTGATTTTTTTTAACTAATATCATCACAGGTCACTTCACGAAGTCTGCAGGACGCGGGAGATTGCCTACATGCAATTCAGAAAAATATATAATTCAATGATCAAGCCCTTATTCAATTTGTTGCAATCTAGATATTGCTTAGGTAGCTAGGTATTGTTTGTCCAGAGAAATAGACCGTGATAAGAGAAGGAATTTTGGACAGGTTTTTCGCATTTGGGGCATGTTTTTAATCAATCGGTGTACAAACACCCTCGTCTAAAACCCATTTCTTGTCAAAGTAAAACCAGATTTGGGCCAAATTTGATCGTGCTTGAAAATCCCATGTCTTACCTTTTTCTGAATGGCCTGTAATTTTGAGGTGACAGTGGCTGCATGTGCCCTGCATCTTGCTATTGACTGTATTGAGTGCACTACTGGGTGTCCAAGTGCTAAGCAATTGTGCAGCATGTTGGAAGATACAGACAAGAGGGTCAATTATAGCAAATTAGCAATACACTTCTTGAGGGGTCTACTAGTTGGCCTCTACTGAACACGCGAATGTAGTTGATATGCAAGAGTGTGTGCGCTCTCTGTCTTATCACATGTGCTATGTGCAGTATGTGAACGGAAATTGCCTGTGAGCGGAAGGTGATCTGCCGCCCTCCTATCTTCAATGAGCAGCTGCACTTGGTTGACACACCTCTCCTTGATTCCACCCTACCTCTGCTCACCAATCTGCCTAACAACAATCCGGTAATTATCTGGTGCTGGACAAAAAGCTCACGCATGCCCATGCAAGCCTGGCTGTTTCCCTCAAACACTATAGCTGGGTGAAACTTGCAAGTGGACCCACAATTCAATTTCCGCTTCTCGCAACTAGTGGTGGTGATTGTTGCAATGCCTGATCTCAAGTCTGAGGTGCACTCTCCGAATAGATTTTCTGTGCGTTTCCCGTGCTTGCCTAGATGCAACTGCGCTTCGCTTTGTGACCAGTTTGTGCTTCTTCCTCTTCTTGTCCATCCCGTGCAAACTTGCTGTTTATATACTTGGTCTTCCTTCACTCCATTTCTTGGTTTCTCTTGGGTAGCGTGCACTACACACGTAACGCATTGACTGTGTGCTGGCAGCTCAATCTACTACACGTCTATATCTCTGTGGGACTGATTTAACCATGCTGTGTGCCGGTCTGTCTGAGTAATTGATATGTACTCGTGACTAGCTGAACGCAAGTGATAAGAACTTTTTTGTGTAACGTAAGGTAGAGTCTACACCATCTCTATGGGTTGTGTACACTCTTGGCTCTGTATAATGTATGCCGCTATGCGTGTGTGGTGGGGGAAGACTTTCTGTGTGTGTGTGGGGGGGGGGGGACTTTCTGTGTGTGTGTGTGTGTGTGTGTGTGTGTGTGTGTGTGTGTGTGTGTGTGTGTGTGTGTGTGTGTGTGTGTGTGTGTGTGTGTGTGTGTGTGTGTGTGTGTGTGTGTGTGTGTGTGTGTGTGTGTGTGTGTGTGTGTGTGTGTGTGTGTGTGTGTGTGTGTGTGTGTGTGTATGTCCGTGGTGGGGGGAAGACTTTCTGTGTGTGTGTGTGTGTGTGTGTGTGTGTGTGTGTGTGTGTGTGTGTGTGTGTGTGTGTGTGTGTGTGTGTGTGTATGTGTGTGTTGGGGAGGGGGGGGGGGGAAGACTTTCTGTGTGTAAAAATGGAAGGAAAGATTCTAGGGGTTCACTGGCTCGAATACGCTGTGTGGTGTAACAGGTACACTGTTTAATTTTACTACATGACTGTATTATACTTGTACAACTACGGCAAATGTAGCTGTAACTTATGATGCACTGCAAGCTGTTGACTTGTTCATGCAATGTAAACAACACTTGCTATGTCTACCATAGTTTGCTGCAGGCTGTATTATGTAGCCCCTTTCACGTATACTTTACATGGACGAAGATCAGACATGTTGGACTGACTGTACGGTGCATTATGGAGACCACAGTGAGTCAAGTGCTCAGCTCACCATTGAGCTTCATGTTGACGAGCAAGTGCACATCTACCCATACACTTGCTGCAGCAGTACTACTACTTCGAGTATCTTTTATCATCAGACTGGTAGACTAGAGTGGAGTTCATAACTCTTTCCGGCTTTAATCCTGCATATCGACCCTTCACATTGTGTCGTGTGACTCAATAATTATACTAGTTAAATTTATGAAGGCCTTACGCACAAACAGCTCATACAATGTATGCGCATGCATCTACAGTGCAAGTAAGCAGCTGCAGAGTTTCGGATCGCATGGTCACTCTGGCTATGTTTGGCATCTCCAGTAAGGAAACATCAGTACCTCGGCTCTGCACGGCAGCATTAGTACAAGCAACAGCGGATCAAAAAAATACCAAACTTTCTTAGGGTTTACAATCAAGTCAACCCACTGAGATGAAAATAGTTCAGGACAAAAGCTCGTCGTAGAAAGACAAATCGCGGCACACTGTCAGCGGGTACCAACTTAGCTGGCAAACACTTAGGGCTGATGGCTGGGATCATGCAATGACCAGCAGGAGAGAGTTGCCTGGCACGGTGAACATTCAGTCTGAATAAAGGACTGTACACGTATGACCAGAATGGCTAGTTACAGGGAAAAAAAAGATGAAGAAACAAACTGAATGTACATTTCAACTCAACGTGTCATCTGCAAAATCAGACGCAGAAGACCTCTGGAGAAAGGAAGAAACTGAAGAAATCTAGTTTCATCAGAGTGCCAATTTTTTGGTCGTGTTGTCATCTGCTGCTTGCCCATCAGCAGCATCATCGCCAAGGTGGAGGTCATCAGGATTCGCAAGAGGATCAAGTTCCGAAAAAAGGTCAAACCATTTCTGACGGGTAGCTCCAGTTTGTGAGGTTGCGCGACCCCCGCTATTGTGCTGTCCTGGTGCTGCTGTGTTGCTTGCACCTCCACTTGCTGCATGTGAGCCCTTTCCTTGTGTTTCCGATGTTGGATGGCTGCCAGGTGCAACTCCTGATTGTGCCGACGCAGATAGTCCAGCCAGTTGACTGGCTGTTGATGATGCTGAAGTTGCTGCAAGTGGTGGTTGTGGTGCGGCCATGCTTGGGACAATGTTGAATACATTCATCATCGATGTGACATCACCGCCAACATCCAACAGGTCACTGGGCAGCGTGCCCGCGGCCGAGCCACCGGGAGCTAGAGACGAAAACAGGTCGCTTGGCAAGGACTGCAGGCCTGCCACCGGCTGCGACGCCGCTGCCCCTGGTGGTGCCGACAGGGAGCTGAAGTCATCGACCATTTGTGCAAGCTCCTTTTCCAAGCGGGTTTCAGCCTGCATGTCCATCTCTTGCCGATGCCTGAGCACACTACTGATCGGAACCACCTTGTCAAGCTGTGCCTCATCATTGGTCAACTGGCGCATTCCACTGGTACCATGTAGACTCTGGTCGGCACCTGACATTTCGTATGCCAAGAGATCAACACCAGCTGCACTGCTTTCACCGTGTGCTTCTGCAGTTGCATGCGCCGTGTGCTCAGCACTAGTTGATGTCCTTGCTAGATCAAGTAGAGTCTTCTGGACTTGCGACTGCATGTCCGTGGAAAAATCTGCCATTGCAGAGGCGGCTGAGCCTTCTGTCATCAGCTCAAGCCAACTGTAATCAGGATACTGTTTAGTATCAACGGAAGTCGTTGCTTTAGGATCAGTCCCCCCAGTGCTGTCCTGATCTCTACTGGCTACTGATTCACTGGCCATAGCATCACCAGTAGAAGCACTACTTTGAGCAGAAGTCGCTGGTATGCCTTGGCGTGCAGTATTGCTCTTGCCTTCAAGGTCATTCTCATCTTCTTCCAGAGCCTCTTTGGCTTCTTCAATGGTCTTCGGTTGCACAGCAGCTGGTGAAGCTTCCCCAAGGACAGTGAGCATTCGCCCTTCACTCCATGACTCACTCGTTGGATTTCCAGACGTAGCCGTGTCCGCCTCACTGGAAGCACCGGTTGAGCCCAGCAGATCACCTGGCACAACCTTGAGCCTTTCTTGGTCCCGGAGCACGTCGCGCTGCAGGCGGTACTGGTGCCGTAGCGTTTCTCGAGACCACTCCAGTAGCTTGCAATACTGAGCGGCACTGCTACTCCACTGCCTTCCTAGTGCTTTCTGGTACGGCGTCATGGCATGCGAGAGGAGATTGCAGAAGCTGGCCGCTAACAAGTCGACCTTCTCGCACACCGTGCCCTTCTTGTTTTCAAATTCCTGTCGCGACTCTCTTGCCATTTGTTGTGCTTGTCGGAACTTGGTCAGGTGTTTGCGTGTGTCCGGATCCAGGTTCCGAGATGCATCCGCCATCCACAGCAAAGCTCCACGGAACTTGCGTCTCTCTTGAGTCACCTGATTGACGTTGATCAGTGTGTCGACCAAGGCTCGGCCGCGGAATGTCTCTACCTCCGAGAAGAAGCGGGTCAGTGGCACATCGAGTTCGAGCCACTGTACCGCTTCATCCTGCATCACCGTGCCCAGGCGACTCATCATCTCCGAGCAAGGGCCATCCGCTTCGCTTTCGGCATACGCCCGCAGCAGTGCGCTCAGCGCTACCTGGCGACTGGTTAGTTGCTGTACAACTTCTTGATATTGCAAGAGTGCTCTGCACAAGGCATAGCACTGCTTCTGAATGTGCCTGGTACGCTCCATCTGAGAGTCTAGCTCCGCATCATCCGCCATCTGATGTTCGTCCTGCTCTTTGCCCATCTTCTCACGCATGTACTGTTTGCCCGTCCAGTACTGGCGCTTGCCTTTCTCCACCAGACCAAGTTCTCTCTGATGCTGATGATGAAGGTGCTGTGCATGGCCCCAGCTCATCTGCCTACTCGCCGGGTCAGCACCAAATCCCCGAGACGCGAAGGCATCCTCTCGATACTGGTGATCGACACTGTCGTTTGAGCTCGTCGCAAGAGGTGCGTAGCGCCCGCTAGACATTCCGATGCCGGTACAAGCTCTCCTTTGTGTTTGCTACAACGAAGCACACAGAATACAAGTACGACTACCACGCCAGTGAGTCGGAACAGTTCGCACTTGCAAACGAACAACTACCGGAGTTACTGAGTATGAGTCCCAAGCGTAAAGCTGAAACACAGAGAACGTTTCACTCCTTATCACCACGTCGCAGCAGACAGGAAGTTCCAGGTGGCAGATGCAGGTAGAGAAGAGTTACAGCAGCTCTGGATTGCTTCACAGCCGAACTCTCCGATACTCCACCCGGCGTCTCAAACTCGAACTTACTTCCAAGTCAAACACGACAGATGTATGAAAGAAAGTGGAGTGTCGCGACTTTTCTTCGCAGTCTGTGCAGCTACACAGTTTACTACAGAGTCTACAGTGTGCTGCAGGTGGACAGAATAAAAAGGCTACAGTGTAGATCTACTGTATACTGTAGCATAGAACATAAAAATTGATAATCATTGTCATTGGAGATTTTGGAGCGAGCTCATGATCGGTGTTTACTAGTATCCGGTAAACGTGGAGTCTACAGCCTACACCGATATTTTTTCTGCTACCGGTATGCCTGGTAAGTGGAGACATATCACGTTCATGTATGGCATACTGCCATGGCAGACTCTACCGGTAGGTCCACACAACTGAGACTGAGAGTCCATACAATCATGACATGAGCTCTCAGCAGTGCGTGTCTGACTTTCCTGGTGAGGCACGGACAGTGTATTTTACTTCGGATAAATGTAATGGCTTTCGTAACCTGCTGATGAGGCTCGATAGATTCATGCTACGATGACCCGACTTGTAAATTTGGGATCCATTTTTTCTGCTCGTCTTGACCCTGCCTCCCCTCATTGCTACTTCCATTTTCGTATTATTATTTTCATTTATTTTTCTCTTCATTTCTGACTCTTCTTGCTGGTTGTCATCGCTTCCATAATATTGGGCAGAACTGCCCGTTTGCCTTGCGATGTAAAATAAATAAACAACAACAACAACAACAACAACAGTCATTTGTGGACGGTTGTAATGCCAAGCCTGCAGTCAAGTGATATAAAAAAGAGGAGTATTGTGGCCATGCATTTATCTACACAACACCAAGGGGAGAAGAAGACAGAACGAGCGAAGGCTGTAGAGTGGCAAAATAACTTCGGACCACGTGTTTTCAGGCTTTCCGCAAATGGGAGGGATCTCGATCCGTGATCGCCTCTCACGAACTGGCCTAATGTCTTCTGTTTCGGATAAGGCGTTTTCACATTATAATAGAGAGGTTCCGCACAGTAACGTAATTACGTTAGTAAAAAACGTAGTCGATCTACGGAAAGTCTTACGTAAACTGCATGCGCATCTGGGTTCCGTCATACGGAGTTTTCAAATCACATAGTGGAAGGAGTCAGTGACAGGCTGACAGCTTGTCTGCACTCAGCTGCGCAGGCAGGAATACCACGTGCCATGATAAGCTTCCAGCATCCCAATGATCACCAGCAATAATGGTTTTCGCCTCTCACTACCTGGATAATGAGGGGGAAAGAGTTGATACACCCACTCATGAGTCTGTCACAGCCCCACATCAAGTAATTTAGTTCAATGGAGAGCAGCCACTCGAGAAGCGATCATGCACGTGTATTTATAGGACTAACCGCAGGCGGTGGACCTGGTGAGAGATATTGCGACAGCTGCAGAGGCCGCTGAGCTGATTGACTATGTGCACTCCTTCCCTGAAGTTTGACAATATGCAGCCATTCTCCGTTTTTGTCTCAAACCAAGAGCATTATAGCTCTTTCTATTAATAGCAAAAAAATCAGCAATAAGGTAGGTTTCGGAGCATTATGGTTAGCATTATACAAACGTTTTCGGAGCATTATCCGCGGGACCCTACTTAGCGGTCAAGAGGTATGGAATCGAGCATGAGTACGAGGACGAAAGTGCGGAATCGGAGCCCGACGCGCGCTAGCGCGGAGGGCTCCGATTCTAGCACTTGAGTCCGAGTACGAATGCTTTGATACCATTTCTGACATGCATTGCACGATGGCTGAATCGGAGCACGCCTAGGCGTGCTCCGATTCAATCGGAGCACGCCTGGGCGTGCTCCGATTGGAAAATCGGAGACCTGCAAGCGCTCACAGGTCTTCAGTGGCTGATTCAAAGCACGGCAAGTCGCGCTAGGATTCGCTGTTGCCATGTCGATTGTCATGTGACATGTCAGAAAGTTGGTTTGTAGATAGACCCTACCAGCTACGTCGCTTTAGTTGGACGTTTTTGCAGCCTCCACACCATGCAGAGATCCGGGAGAAGACTACGAGGAAAACCTTTTGTACATGTACATGTAGGTCTTTCCAATACTCCCTACTCCACACATGGACCACAGTCACGGTGACTTTTTCAATCTGTCAGCTGTGTTTACATGAGGCGTGGTCTATTTTTTTTACACC